GTCACATATTCAAGACCGTTAATACTTCGAAAGTAAGAAAGCTGCTAAAGCTACTAAAGGTAAGAAAAGGTGTTTTATTTATAAAAAGCTAAGTTGCTAAAGCACTAACTACACCTTCGACGAAAGAAAGGCATCCGTCGCTAAGTTCTAAGCCTTTAAGGACGCAAAAAAAGTAACGAAAAGCAAATTCTTTTAATACGTAGCATCGATTAAAAGCTTGCTACTTGTATCTACGGAAAAATTCGATTAGTTTATCGCAAGCTTATTAAACGAGCCGCTCGAATCGAATAGCTACGTTAATATATCGGAAGGTTTTGTAACTATTTATAGCACTTTTAACGCTAACGAAGTATACAAGCAACTAGAAATTCAAACGGCATTTTACGCTCTTATTAGCTAAATCGAGACTTAAAACGTGTTTACGAGCAAAGCAAAGACTTATATAGCTTTTAAGTACTTTGAAAACGTGTTTATAAGCCTTATGATTAATAGCGGAACAGTTAATTTCTTTACCGCTAGCTTGCTTTAGTTACGAGCACTTTAAAAGAAGTACTTCGAGGTTTAATTAAATATATCTCGAGCAAAAGAGAAGTCCGTTAAGTATAAGATTAGCTTTATTACTTTTATTAAAGCAATTACCTTAGAAACGCCTTTAAGTTAAGTAGAGTTTTACGTTGTAAAAAACGACGTATCCTTTTTGTTTTTATTAGCTGATATAAATAAGCATAAAGTGATCTTAAATAACTTGCGGAATGTGCTAGTTTAAAAGAAGAAGGAAATACTAGTAGTAAAGATGTTTAGATACGTATAGATGCTATTGAGTAAAGAGCACGCTGCTACTTATTATAGCACTAAAAGCGAGACCGTCTACTATTATCTTACGGAAGAGCAATTAAGGACTATTTACAAGCGTTTTAGCTACTCTTTAGCAAGTCGATTTACTGCTATTTTTAAAAGGGCCGAGCACGAATTTAAGCGGGATTTGCTTTATAATATCTAAAAGTTTTGCTATTATTGCTAAGTATTCGGACGCTCTTCGAAGAAGTTTAGTATTAGACTTAAAGATGATACTAATTTTAATAACACGGTATACGTCGATGTGATGCACTTTAACGGCAAGAACGTATTGTACGTCGTTTGCGATTCTATTAATTTTCAAGCCGCTACTTTCTTTAAAAGCATATCCGTATAGCATTTACTTAAAAGATTCAATCGATATTAAGTTAATACTTACGTCGGACTTTTTATAAACGTCGTATACGATCTCGGAACCAACTTTAATTTAACAACGTTCCGAAGCTACTTTAAAAGTATTAATAACATTTTAAAGCAGATGCTTGTAAAAGCTTATTATAGCGTCGGGCTAATAGAACGCTACTACGTCCTTGTACGACGTGCTTTTAAAATCGTTATAAAGGAGCTTCTAAAAGCCTTAAAGGAGGACCGGCTTTAAATAGCTATTAAAGCTATCAACGATATAGTTAGACTTAATAGCTTAGTTCTTATACTCTTCGTTTTTAAGACCTTACCGAGGCTGACGGAGCAAGATCGACTTGCCGCGTCTACTTAAGAGCGTGCTATTGCTATTAATAAAGCTATAAAAGAAGTACGAAAATACTACGCAGCGAAGCAAGTTAAGGACGCGCTTAAAAAGAAAAATAAGCTAGTTACGGAGCATACTTTAAACCTTTTTATTAGCTTACAAATACTCGTGTAGCGAGAGAATCAAGAGTAAAAAGGCCCTTTTCAGCTGCTTAGCAAGCAAAAGCATACGTACACAATAGCTTGTCCGAGGCTTATAAAATTCAAGTCAACTTTAATAAAACCTTACTACTTTAAAGTTGAAAAGCTGTTAAAAAAGTTGCAAGTACTTAAGGTAAAAGTAAAAGAAAAGGTGGAAAAAGATTAAAGCGAAAGCGAAAAAGAGCTAGAAATACGAAATTCGCTTAAACCTTAATATTCGCTTAATCTATCGAGGTCGCTTAATTTAAAAAGCTCGCTAAGATTAGCAAACAGCTTTTTTAACCTTTAATTTATCAATTCTTAAAGATCAACAATACCGATAGTCCAAGTATTTTATTAGAAGTACGATCCGAGTATCTCGACCGTACTCGACGAAGAAGAAGACGATTCTTACGTTTTATTTATTAAAGACTTTGAAGTATTGATTACCGATAAAAAACGCCGAGATTATAAGCTCTTAATTAAGCTACGAGCCGAAGGAATCATTAAGAGCTTCGAGGCATTATTTCAAGAGTCTAGAGCAAAGGAATTAGCTAGATTAATAGCTTAAAGCATCCTTTAAGTGATCTCGAGCACCGACTTACGTGTTAAAAGCGCTAAGATCTTCGGATCTAGGTTTATTAATAAGATTAAAAGCAAAAGAACATTTACGTTATACGAGAAGTCTCGTATAGTAGTCTAAGCCTTTTAAGATAAAAGCAAAACGAGAGTACTTATTAAGTCTTTTACGGTATAGCGAGCGGGCTAAAGACTTTATTATACTTTAGTTCTTTCGTTAATAAAAGACTACGAGTGTTAAATTTATAGCAAAGATATCACTTAAGCTTACACTTAGTCAAGCACGAAGCTCATTCGAATAATCGTCGTACGACTACTTAAAAAGATCACTTATCGATTCTTTTTCGGCACTTTGTTCTTTATGACTAGCCTTTTATATAGCATCTTCGAAGCAAGAACGTATTAGTATAAGCGTTTTTCAAAGCATTTTACGGACAACTTCGAGATAAAACAGTCGAGCTTTAATTTTTGCCTTTTTATATTAACTAACAAGAATCAGCTAAGAATAGCTGCTTTACAAACGGACGATGTTCTTATAATTATCAATCGAGCTATAAAAGCAAAAGAAAAGAAAGAGTTGGTCAAATTTAAGCTAAAGAGCAAAAAGATAAAGACCTTTATATACGCCGAACCGATGATTTTCAATAAATGCAAGCTATCTTTAGATGAAGACGGGTTCGGACTGTTAATTAAGCAAAAAAGGCAAAGTAAAAGGCTTGCCGTAATCAAGCTCGATTCAGCTATACGGGCTAAAGAGTACTTGAAGCAACGTGCTCGAAAAGCGTATTTGGCTACTATTTGCTACTTAAAAGCATCTTGTGCTCTATCGATAGTTGCTTAGCATTAAGAACTAAAGGATAAGGATTACAAAGCTTTTAATAAAGTGATCTAGTAGCTGATCGATCACTTAACCTGAAGGATCTATTACGTGCTCTTAGACTTAAGGACGGCGAAGCTCTTTATGTTCGTAAACGGAGCGTTTGCTAATAACGCTGACTTTAGCTCTTAGATCGGTTTCGTAGCTATCTTTAGCAATAAAGCTCACGTAAGTGAAAACGAGTTCATTTTAACGGGTAATATTTTTTATTAAGTGTTACAAAAGTGCAAGAAGGTGATAAAAGCAGTATTAGCTTTTGAGCTATACGCTATATCTTTAAGTATCGATATAGCTATTACGATATCGATTACTTTTGCTTAAATCATAGCTTAGCTAAGGATCTTTAATTTCTTCGTGGTTGTGTGCATTAACTTTTATTCGCTTTACGAGTGTATAGTAAAGCTAAGGACTATCAAGAAGAAACGCTTTATAATCGATATTATAGCTATTCGGGAGTTATACGAAAGGAAAGAGCTCTTTAAAGTACGTTAGATCGGAAGAAAATCCAACCTTGTTGACGCTATAATTAAAGTCGGGGCTAATACCTTTTTGCAAGAGCTAGTTTTGATTAATATTTTAAAAGTGCAAGTAGACGGATAGGTAGAAAGGCCGCTGTAAAAGAAAGGAGAGTGAAGTTTAATAAAGTGAGATTGTTTTTCCTTTGTTTTAATTACTTTTTTTTTTTTTCGGTCGATATGATAATTAGCAAGGCACTGCTTGCTAAAGAGAGAGTTGCCGGTGTCGGTATCTTTATATCGACTTTAGCTAGTTAATAGTAGTAGTAGTAATAGTAGTTAGAGAAGCTTACCCGTGAACTATAGTTTACGAGCCACTTGGCATGCCTCGCTTAGCATATCAGCAGCCAAGGGACCCTTAACTTGACAAGTAGACCTATTAGTTAGCTAGTGCACGTGATTCCTTTTAGTCTTATAAAAGGAATCAGCTCCTTTGAATCTTGGGGAGCAAACAGAATTCAGATACTTTATCAACCGAGTGTTTTGCAATTGCAAGTACTTTGACGACCGTTACGACCTTACGAATATATATTCCCAATCGCTTAGAAGCAATCCAACAGCATTTATATCATAAATTTTTATATCGATCTTAAATACGAACTTAATATTTGGTCGGTCTTAAAAGTTAAAAGGTAGTAATTAAGTCTTAGTGTTTAATAATTGCGATAATAAAGTTATTGATCTTACTAATTATAGATATGTTCGTAATAGAAAGTCAATGATCAGCTTGTGCTATACTTGTTATTTTAAAGTGGAAAGTATCGAAGCTATTAAAAGTAAGCTCGCTTGCTTTTCGTTCGATGATGATATTGATAATAAAGATTAAAAGTGATGGATTTTTTCTTCGTATTTCCTTTCCGAATCTATTAAAAAAAGTGAGCCGAGGCGGAGTTCTTTTATTCCTTCCTTATGCATTTATCTAGCTTATAAGTCGTTATTGCTTTCGTTAATCCGTGATTTCTTTTTATAAGTCCGTGGTTTTTAATTAAAGTGGTTTTAGTTAAAGTGGTAGTAAAGCGGTGATTTGTCGATAAACCTTTCGAAAAAAGAAAAGTAAAGCTGAAGTTGTTTCTTTAATAGTTGTATTTTTAATATATTATTTTAAGCTCTTTATCTGCGAATCAAAAGATTGTCAAGTCGGTCGCTGCTTAAGTCACCACTTCAATAGTGAGAAAAGGGCCGTGTTGTATAGAAAGGATAATATTTCTAAGTTCTCTTTAATAAGAGAAGTCTATGTACCTCCTTTAGCGTGCACGTGCTCCCAACAGGCCTGACAGCCTCAGGCCATCACACTTGACGGAGTTTTACGACGTTGGACTATGTTCGCTGAGTCATCCTTTTTTTTTTTTTTTCTTTTTTCCCTCTTTTATACCCTGGTAGCCCCACCGTGCACCGCTTGCCCAGCTCTCCTCCGTAAACCAGAGGATACGGCACTAAACAAACCCAATCAAAGCCTAACTAACCAACAGCCCCCACACCAGTCGGCGCTTTACCGGCAAGCCAGCGCCGCTTTGCGTCACCGCTCCCGAACATGGCCGCCAGTATGGACAGTTCTGCCCGCAGTGCATTGAATGTTCCTGATGCAGCTCCAGCTTCAGCTCCAGCTCCAAGTCCGATTCCTCTTCCAACTCCAAGTCAAAATCCAAGTCAAATTCCACATTCAAATCCAACTGCCCCAGCTCTCCCTCTCGCGCTCGCTCGCGGTCCACCAATATTCTCTTTCGCCCTCAACCCCTCGAGCAGCAGATACCAGCACCAGCACCAGCCTTCTCCCTCGCCCTCGCCCTCTCACTCTCCCTTTCTCTTTCCCCCCCGTAGCCCCGACGAGCTCAATTTCCTCGACATGGTGGGCAAAAAGTCCGGGAAGGCACTGTTGCGCGAGGAAGGTATGGTATCCAGCTAGCGACCGAGAGATGCGCATGAGATAAGCAATCAATCGACTGACAGCCAGCTCTACAGGTCTGGAGAGGACCGACAATGGGATGAAGCAATCTAGCTGGCCCGAGGTTCCGATGATCAACCAGAAGAACTATTACACGTACGTCTGGGCACGTTGGACTCGACCAGCTCAATTTCATACCAAGTCCATACATGCCTGTGTACGAGAATAGAAGACCTAGCTAACCATCAACCCGTACAGCGAGTACATGAAGCGCGATGACCAGATCCTCCCGTACCGACTCCAACATGAGGCCAATCGCGACAGGATGATTCGCAATGCGAAGGACAGGGACAGAGCTCTGGCACGAACGAGTCATACCGACGTGCCCATACTCACCCTTGCCGATGGCGACCTAGACGAGCATGTTGACAGCGATGCAGCCGACAACTCCAAGATCATCGTCATACATCCAGGCAGCCAGAACCTGCGCATTGGGCTGGCGAGCGATGCCCTGCCGAAGACCATACCAATGAATATTGCCTGCAAATGGACCGAGACCGAATCGAAAGAGTACGAGCCGAGACCGAAGAGGCAGAAGCTGGATGGGACCCCGGAACAGCTGTTTGGGGAGGAGTTCTCGAAGCGCTATGTCAAGATGACGGCAGCGCTGAAGGTCGACATGCGCGCCAACAAGTTCAAGGTCCTGCCGAACTCCAAGGAGTTGGTTATCAATTTCAACAAGAGGACGGAGCCGGAGATCATTCCGGAGCATAATGACCCCATCCGAATTGAGTGGACCGATGTTTCGAAGGACACCAAAGACCTCTCGAAATTCTATACGGGCATGGCAGCTCTGCGGATACCTGACGATTCCGACCCTTCGTACAAGGTGTTTTGGCCGATACAGCAGGGTTACTTTCACGAGAATGATTACATGAGTGCTGAGCATCTGTTTGACGACTTCGAGTCCATATTGGAAGATGCAATTAGGAACGAGCTGGGTCTAGGCAAGAGCTCTGAGTGGAATCAATACAGCTGCGTGGTTGTTATTCCGGACTTGTACGACAAGCGGTATGTCGAGCAGATTCTGCACATGTGCATCAAGGGATTTGAGTTCAAGCAGGTGTGCTTCATCCAGGAGAGCCTGGCAGGGACGTATGGAGCGGGATATACGACTGCTTGCATTGTCGATATTGGAGCACAAAAGACTTCTATATGCTGTGTAGAGGATGGCATGTGCATCGAAGATTCAAGGATAAATCTCAAGCAGGGAGGTTTTGACGTGACGGACACTTTCATCAAGATGATGTTGCACGATTACTTCCCGTACTCGGACATCAACTTGAAGCGGAGGTACGATTTCCTTCTGGCTGAGGAGCTGAAGATGAATTACTGTACGATGAACTATGCGGAAATCGCTAGTCGTACGCACGATTTCCATCTTCGCGTCCCACATCAACCAACACGGAAGTATCAGTTCAAAACCTACGACGAGGTCATATTGGCGCCGATGGGCTTCTTCGATCCTTCGCTCTTCGAGAATTCAGATAAGCTTGTCGGGCGCCGGAAACTCATCGATCGCACCTACAATGCTTACGATGCGGATATGCCTGATGACCCGACGTCGGCAGCCCAAAATGCGATATTGTTGAGCATCAAGCCATCCATTGCTACAAACGCCAATGGTGTATCTTTCAATGGTTCCGGCGAATTTGCCACTCCATCGAAAGAGAGGCCGAATCCTTTCGCATACCTCAATGATCCAAACGGGAACTCTCGTGTCACTTCCGCAGCTGCTTCACCAGCACCAGAAGGCGCGAATACCCCCGCAGCACCCTTCGTCTTTGGTGCCAATGGTACGCATGGCGGATCCCCAGGCCCAAGTCTGCAAAACAATAGTTACCACAACGGCGGCACTCCCATACCTCCGGCTGGCATGTTTGTCGATGCCCAGGCGCGAACGCAGAAGGACCTCGCCATTGAGCGCGACTCCGTGCTTCCTACCGCACCTCTCGACACGGCGATCATCACGTCAATCACCCACGCCACCCGTGGCGATGACAAGAAACTGCGGGATTTCTTCGGCGGCATCATGGTTATCGGTGGCGGCGGCAAGACGCCTGGCCTCGGTCCTTTCCTCGAAGAGAAGCTGAAGCAGAAGAGGCCGGATCTAGCAGAGAAGATCTTGGTGGGTACGAGTCCGCGGGAGATGGATGGACAGGTTGTGGTGTGGAAGGGGGCTAGTGTTTATGCGAGGATGAGCTCGCATGAGAGCTGGGTTGGAGGGCAGGAGTATGAGAAGTTGGGGAGTCGGGTCCTATGGCATAAAGTACTTTGGAATTACTAGGGATGTGAAGACTGGTAATGTTCGGACTGGAGTATCGAAGGGAGGGGGTAGAAAGGAGTGAGTGGCGTTTAGGGAGCCAGGAAAATGTGTTTATGACTAGGAAAAGTATTGCATTGCTTAAGGATAGGCATCCACCGTTTTGATGATTGAAAACACCACTTCGATGGACGAATTAACGGATAGGAGAGACAAGGAGTCGAGAATTGTGTGCAGGTATCAGATCCCTTCTCAAGCCTGTTAAGTGTGGAGTTTCTCCGCCTGGCTACAAGCACGTTCTGCCGGCGGCAATTTTGGGTCGCTGATCATTTGTTAGTATTCGAGGAAAATATCGTAAGTCGCACGTGGCTGCGGATCGAAGGAGAGGAGGGGGATAGCTTCGCCGGTCGATGGCAACATGTTTGGACGATCAACACCACCGCGTCCGAGAGTCACCGGGAGAGAAAGTCTGTTTGGCTCGCATTCTGTTATTTCCATGGTATCTCTGCCTCGGATCGCGGTCTTATGCGACAAAAAAAGATAGAGCAGCCCCCCCCCCCGTCTCCCAGAAACGCCAGATCCTGCCAGCCTCAGGAATATGTCCACAACCCGAACGCCTCCAATGAAAACGCCACTCGGGCCACATGAACGCCGCGCTCGTGTTAACAGAAGTCTCTCCAAAAGTCCAGGTGCGTTCCAAAGATTCATTCAGTGCCGCTGGACAGCTTCGCAAACTCCTCTTTCCACTCCATGGCACACTTCGCCCTCTCGGCCGCCTCCTCGGCGTACAGCTCGAAATCATCCTCCCCGAGATCACTCGTCTCCTCCCAGAGCTTGTCAAACTCATCCTGGGCTCCCCCCTTCGGCGTCGCCCAGATATGCTCCCTCAACCTCTTGTGCCTCTCGCGATCCTCCTCGATGCGCTGCTCGATCTGCTTCTTGTCTAGCTTCTGCGCCGCTACGCGGGGGGTCTCCAGCTCCGTGTCGGGCTCCGTATCGCGCTCCCGCAGCAGCTCTTCGATCTCAAGGACCGTTTGCTGCAGCAGGAAGGCCTTGGTCTGCAGGGCTTGCAGGACCTTGCGCACGACCTTCACGTTGGCGGCACCGGTGCCGTTCTCGGGGGCAACGGCGTCGACGATGCGCAGGATGTCGCGCTGCATCATGCGGATGTAGTCGTAGTGGTTTTCGCGCGCGGCCATATCGCAGAGGTGCTCGACGAAGAACATGATGTTGGCGCGGTTGTTCATGGAGTTATTAGTCTGGGAGGAGAGTCAGTATGATTGTCTTCCTTTTCTTTCTTTCTTCTCCTTCTTGGTTTCCCTGCGGCAGAATGGGGATTCCTCTCCTCTCTGGGCTACGTACTCTCTCCAGCTGCTCCAAGATGCACGAGTGCAAGTCCTCGTCCAGATCTCGGTGTTTCAAGGCATACTGGGCGGCCTTGGTCGAGCTTGTTACGCTGGCCGTCATGCTCGACAGGAGGCCGGTGAAGCGGATGCGCACGTCGAACGGATCCATGGTGTATTTCTGAGGCAAAGGACCGAGGAGTTTATCGGCTCGTCATTCTCGAGCGGTTGGTGTAGCGCATCGGACGAGGCACTTTGACATTATTTCATTGAGCCTTGTCGGCCAAGGGAAAATGATGTTCCGGCGGCCGAGATTCCGTATCATGTGCGGAGCTGGACGGGCGTTTGGTAATCGTCGGTTAATATTCAGACTGGTTACTTTACAGACTGTATTACAGATATAAAGATGCATCTATTTGTTGCAAGTCAGACTGGTAAGAGGTGGTTCATAGTAACCAAGCAAGGGTGGCGATCGATGTATGGATTGCGATTTTACTAAGGTTGAGGTTGTAAATACGCTGAATCTCGTTAGCGGACGGGCCAGTGGGATCGAAAAATACGACAACAGTACATCAAAGTACATCAAAAGTACTTCTATAACGTACTATCTTTACTACTTTCACCTAGCACAACAATATAACAACTACTACTATATAGAATTGATTAGATTGATCTACTCTTATTCATCCTAGTACGGTGCATCTTTGGATACAAAAATAACTACGATATGATCGGTGCTTGATTTTGTATCGCGTTGATAAGGGCAAAAGTTACTGTCCCGGGTCGCTGGGTCCCGGGTCGGTGGTGCCGACCTGGCGCAGCTGGGTCAGATTTTTTTCACCATTAAATTCCAGGTAACCGACGATTCACTTTCTCAAGGTCCAGTTTCGAAGGTGTTATCAGTTTCTAATTAAGCGAATTGGTCTTTGGTAGAAGGGGATAAGAAATCGAAACCTTGAAAATGAAACCTCGAAACCTCGAAACCTCGAAACTGCTCTCGAAATCGAAACTGCAAAAAAAAGGCAGTTTCTTCTATTTCTAGTGATCGATCTACTACTATAAATTCAATATCAAGCCTCCATCAACTCTCGACTCGTACGTAGTAAAGTACGGTAGCTGAGACCATGTTTTAAAATCTTGGCTTGTAAGGAGCGTCGATAGCGGTTAATCAACCTTGTTTTACTTAGCAAGTACCGGTAGTACAGTAGTACATGGAAGCGAATCCGACGTATGGATGAACTACCGGTATGCTAAGGATAACCCATTCCACGCTAATACGTAGTATAAAGTGCAACGATATGATCCTCGGCGTTGCGGATTCGAAACCGGACTTATGATAGAATCTGAATCGGTTGATGTTTTCTTCATTCCAATTGGCTTAAAACCTTTGTATACTCTTCTATTGCCCCTTGCTAGGTATACCCCCTGCTATACCCCCTGGGAACGGTGCACCAAAGACCCAGTACCTACCTATTCCACATCTACCGACGATTTAGCGAGGGAGCGAAAACACTTAAATCAACCATTTCCAAGCTGCTTCGAGCTTTCATTCGGTGACGTTTGAAACCAGGCTCAGCAAGCGGTGTTGAAGAATGAGAAATTGTGGGTTTGAAACCTCGATTGCGTCAAGAAGAGAGAGTTATGGTGGGAAAAGGAGATTGATTGATTGGGATTTGGAGATTGGGATTTGGAAAAACTACCTATTCCCTCCTTGAGATTCACTCGATTTTCTGTCATCACCGGGGGGATTTTGTAATTGTAGTGGTATCGTATCGCTAAATGGTGATCACACAATAACAACAATAAGTATCACATGCGTCGGTTGTTGTTGTTGTTGTTGTTGTTGTTATATTTACTAACGTCTGGCGGACTATAAGCGTAGCATGCGCTCCTCGTCCTAGGGCCTCCCAAGGGGGGGTACGGAGACGTGCAAGGCGGAGGGCTTATATACAGTCCATCAAATCGATCTTTCAAGCGCCAAACCCTTGTGCAGCTGTAATCTTCTCTTGAATGGACCTAATATCACCCTATAATACCCCAGAATGCAATTCAAAAGAGTGTCGAAACGAGTAAGTACTCTACTCCCTTCCCCTACGGGCGGGATAGATAGTACGAAAACGAAAGTAAACCTTGATCCAAGTCCAAAGCCCGATATCCTTTTCTCGACTCCAAGAAAGCTCGGATCTCATGCGTTGGTTACCAAACACCAAATCACACCTTTCGATTGCTTAGCCGGTGGTCGATCAAGATCCTGACACCAAGAAGGTGACCAAGGATCGACCAGGGATCGATCCGGACACGGTGCTTCCGCTCAACTTCGCATTCAGGGATGCACCGGTCCGGGTCTTGTCTGTGACGAAAGCAGTGACGCTCCGGCCCTTGAAGGCCCCGAGGGAGACGGTGGCTTCAGTATCGGCCGCATCCTCGTTGAGGACCACCACGCCCAAAGTCCCATCAGGGTTCAAGTAGGCGCTGGTGAGCAATTTGCTGGAAGTGGTAGTAGCGACCCGGAAGGCGCCTGGTCGCGCGGCTCTCGCGAATCCAGCAAAGGCCCAGAGGCGGGTGGAGACCTCGTAGGTCTCGCCGGTGACCTGAATGAGCTTGGTGTTGACTTTTCCACCCTCAACGCCAATCCAGTAGAGGTAGGCGCTCACTTGTGCTTTGGTCAAGGCAACGTGGAGCGCATTGGCCCAGTACATACCCTCACCCTTGGCGCCGTTGTTGTACCATTCCGTCGTCCAGGGCCCTTTGAGATCGGCGTACTCGGTCATCCAGGTCGGAAGGCTGGTTGGGATCTTGTCATCGCAGGCACTGCTGTAAGCGTGCCCCGTGATCCGTGATAGCAGATCCGCGGCGCCCGCGGTTTTCAGCTCGGCCGTCATTTTAGCTTGGGCATCCCAGCCCATGGAGTCGCAGCACGTGAGCCCAACGGACGAGAGACCTTGAGCTTTCATGGCCGGGGCCAAGATCTTGATGAAGGATGCGGCCTGCGCAGCATTGGACATCATGCCGGCGTACTTGGGACTGGGGAAGGGAATCGATGTCAGTGGAGTCGGCGCGGCGGGCAATGGGGAGGAGACGACGACGACGACGACGACTTACGCGAATTCGGGCTCGTTCAGGAATCCCAGATGGGTGATGGGGATTCCTTCTTGCTTGTAGAACTTCACGTATTGGGCCAAGTAGTTGGCGAAGGCCTTTCTCCAGTCTCCGCTGGAGCAGACCTGGTCCGGGACTCCACACAGGTATCCGCCACCCACATCGTTGCCGGTGGTCTTCATGTAGCCGGGGGCACTCCACGGGTTGGCGTAGAATTCACGCACACCGCGCTCGTATGCCCATTTGGCGACAGCGACTGTGCGATCACGGTCAGTATATGTGTGCCGACGTTTATATATGGATGTAGATGTGAATGTGTATGTGCATGTGTATATGTATGTGTATGTGTATGTGTATGTGTATGTGTATGTGTATGTGTATGTGTATGTAGATGTAGATGTTTGTGTGTATATATATAATATATATATATTTTATATATATATATATATACGAACAGAGAGAAGGGAGTAGGTAGTAGAGCATCACTCACCCTGGCCACTGTCATCGCCGTCCCACACGTACTTCGGGGTGGCGTCCGGTCCACCCGGGTCGACGGGCTGGATGGCGTTCATGGCGCCGTTTTGGGAGTTGGGAGCCGAGCCAAGCCCGATCCGGAGCATGGACAGACCGGCGCCGGTGGTGGTGTTGAACAGCAGATCCAGCACCTCCTCGCGCTCCTTGGTCGGGAGGTTCTTGATGTTGTTGGCTTTGCGGAAGGCCTCGGAGAAGCCGAAGCCGTCGATTTTTTGGTATTTGGTGTTGACGTCGACGTCGATGGTTGCTGCCGCTCGGGCAAGGTGCTTGTGTCGAACTTCGGGGAGCGCTTGCGCTGCACCGCAAATGGCGACTAAAATTAAGTAGGAAGAAGTGAACATGGTGATGGCATCCACCAGAGAGCGAGTGAGTAAGTGAGTAAGTGAGTATTCAGAGGAGCGAGTGTGGTAGAGGTGCTGGTCTCACGTAGCAAGAGGGGCTTTGTAAGGAGGGAGTGCGGGTAGAAGAAACAGGAAAGCAGAAACTGAAAAAGAAATGAGCGTCTATCCCTGGAGGATCTATAACACTCATATATAGTTATTTTTCCCCTGATCTGATGAGTATTGAATCTACTCACAAATATACTCCAACCAGTACCTACAGAGGTACTGCTACCTTAAGCACGAAACCTTATAGAATCTCGAAAAGCCTTACGGAGTAATACTTGCCTTTGTATCAAGGTCAGGTTACTGCTCAATTAGATTAGAATAGTGGCTGTGAAGTAGCAAGGGTTACAACACTTTACCGCTGTACCTCTGTACTATAGTATACTCTGTACGATCCTCGGGACAGCACTCTATTCCTTTCCTTCCGTACGATGGTACAGCGGGTAAGTTTTCCCGACCCAATTTTGGAAACTAGCTTAATCGAGCAATACTATTCTATTACGCTCCCCCGTTCCGTATCGCTGAATGCGATGGTACAACATATACGTAGTACTCTATACAGTAGAAAAGGATTAACGTTTCAATATTTTTATAGATTTCCCATTTGCCTCGTTTACAGCCCGGTAGCGCTCCGGCATATCTTAGCAGGCGCTTGAGATTCACATTCGCCCACCTTTTCTTACGCATCCTTAACAGCCGTATGCAATTGAGCGAGGGACCGTAAAAGTGTTGCTCGATTGAGCTAGTTTCCAAAGTGGGTCGGAAAACTTAACCGCTGTACCTCTGTAAAGGGGCTTGCTACGTAGTACTTAGATACCGATAGTAGTACTACGTACATTAACCTGTTGCCTGAGCCCTCAATCACATTTAGCCGGGTCTAGGGGTCGGTTCAGTCTTCCGTCTTTTCTACTGTACTACGTATAATCTGGACAGTAAAAATCGGACTCGGACAACTAACTAAACCCAAAGTGTGCCCGGGCCTTTACTTCTGTAGGAGAGAGAGGAAGTAGTAGTATACAAGTATAAGGTGAGGTTGTTTATCTAAGCTACTACCCTACTTTCCCTAGGAGAAGTCTATTTGGAACGTGCACCTTAGTCCCTCCTGACGGCTTCCAGCCATCATGTATCCTCTTTTCTAATTGGTTTCATAACTAAATATCCCCTTTTACTACGTGTATAATCATTCTTCATACGCAATTCTCAATCTCTTTCGATTTATTGCTACTTAAATCTTATACTTTTCTTTCTCTTTTTTCCTTTCGATATATATATATATATATTTTTTTTTGATTACTTATGCTTTTTGACTATCCTTATTAAAATCTTCAAACTTCATTTTTTTTTCTCGATACCTCATTCTTCTTAATACTTTGGAATCAATTAGTTAGCTTTTTTTTTTTCTTTTTTCTTTGGGAAAAGAGTTTTAATGATAGTTCTACCTGGATTGATTGGCTTAAAGTTTGATAGTGTACTTACCTAGTTATCCTAGGACACGTGATATCTCGCTCCCGCAAATATATACGTACTACGTAGTAGTAGTATATACAGACTTCGATCTTGTACAAATATAAGGTGAGGTTGTTTTATCTAAGCTACTCCCTTTAAGCTTTAAGAGAAGTCTATATGGTAGCCTCCAAAGGTGAGACGTGCACCCTAGTCCCCCCCTAGTCTCCTAGTGGTTCCAGGCCATTACTGTACTGTACACGCTTAGACAACCCAGCCCAACCCAACCCTCGATCCGCCAACTATACGCGAGAAGAGCTTAACTTCACGATCCGAGAAAGGGGCTATGCGTCATTTCTCCTGGCCCCCGGGCCCCCGGGCCCCCGGGCCCCCGGGCCCCCCGGACCCTGCGAAAGACAAGTCGCTTTATGAAACACGAAACAAGATCGCCAAGAATCAACACTTCAGACGACAATTTGCTGCAAGATGACGGGGGGGAGGGACGACGAAATGAGAAAGAAAGCCTGCAACAGGGCAACTCGAGACGAGAGAGACGAGAGGGACGAGAGACGAGAGAGACGAGAAGACGTTTCAGAGTTTGGCGCCGATAGGGGTGGGGTCGGCATGACTGGGCCCGGGGAACGCTTGGGGATCGATTAGGTGCATGAGACAGGAAGGCAAGAAGGCAAGAAGGCAAGAAGGCAGGAAGGCAGGAAGGCAGGAAGGCATTCAGAGTGCATTCATTCATTCATTCATTCATTCTCGGCTCCGTCGTCGCGGTTGGATTAACTATTATCCGGAGCCCGTGCCCGTCCCCCGTTTCCCGTCGCAGCGGACAGCCCACCCAACTGAATGCCCCAAATCGCGGGTAATCGACCTTCCAGTTAACCCTCGGCGGCTTGCCGCTGCCGCGGTCGCTGCTCAGGCATGGCACTTTCTTCTGCTCCATCGGGGCCTGGCCGCCAAATCCGGATCCGATGGGCCATGCTCCACACAATAACTTCCTGAAAATGCCTGCGGCACGTACCGCCGTACCGCCGTACCGCCCCGACCTACCATTTCGCTGTGGTGGTGTGGTATGGTATGCTCGTGACCCCTAGTCTCTCCGGCACGCCTGCAGACTCTTCAATCAGCCTGTAGGTAGGTGCTGGACGCCAGACTCATCTTTCCAACTGAACCCCTCGTGCTGAGTGTGAGTGAGGTAGGGCGTCCAAGGCGTCCAACAGGCTGCGAGCGAGATCCATGATCGATGTCTCATCAAGGCTGGACATTAGCCGGTTTCCCCTCGGGACCGCAGCACGCAGCCCCTTCAGAGCTGAGGAATGAAAAGACCTGCGGCTGCTCGGATGAATCGGTTGGCGTCGACGGGTGCCGTGGGATGCGTGACCAGGCTGGTGTGAATCGTAAGCCGTGTCCATGAGTGACGAGGATCTCGGCGTGTGGTGGAATTGAATTGCCCGCGATGCCTCCAATAGCCAAAGGCGGAAAAGGTTAGATACCAATCGTGGAAGAATTCATCAGTCGTGCCCTTGAGCGACTCGGCTAGAGCATTTCCCCTGACAGCATCGGTTCGATGCTGCAAGTTCCAATTCTGGAAATCGTGTGATTTCCGTCTCGGGCTGAGGAGCTTAGTAGTACCAGCCTCAGCAATGCCATCGTCGTCTGGGAAAAGACAGTAAACATGCGTTGCATGCTATCCACTTCATCCTCACAGCTTTGAATACTGTTTCATTTGTTGATTAAGGTTATTAGCAAATGAATTACTGTCCCGGCTTCACATCTCCTTCATGCCAGACTAAGGCTTTCTGGAATTTCTGGGCCTGGTTCAGATCAGCTTTTGTGCAAAGGACTTTCAGCCCTTTCGCAAGACATACCCAGAGAGTAAACTCGTCCTCTTTTCCTTCCCAGTTTTTTTTCAATGACTCGACCGCTTCAGCTCCAGCAGTGAAGCATTGTATCATCCTCTCGTCAATCTCTTCCTTGTCGAGTTCATAGAAGGCGTTGGCGAGCTCGTCCACAATATCCGGCAGTTCCTTCATCAGCTCTACAGCCTTGTCCACACGGTGAACGACTGACGCACCCTTGCTTTCCCCATGTTCCTTGCTCTCCTCTGTACTCTTATCGGCTCCATCTGACCTCCCTGTCTCAATGGCTAAGTCAGCCAGAGGAAATGCAGGCAAAGTCTTGAGCCGTCTCTTCACGACTGCCTGATACATCAAGATCAGCAACCGCAACCTCTTCAGCGAGCCGTCCAATCTCGGCCGTAGTTTCTCCGGATCATCAGCCGAGATGTGTTTTTGCGACCCAAACATCTCGTCCACGGCCCTCTGGGCGTCATCCTCATCCGCACTCCCCACATCCCCGTCCTCCCCGTCCGACTCCTCCTCAGCCCACTCCTGCAGCTCCTCCAGCGCATCTTTCAGCGTCGCCTTGTACTGCTCCGCCTTCCGGACCGCCAAGCCGGCAATACCGATCTTCTTTAACTCGATTACCGCGTCGCAAGCCTGCCATACGGTGCCCGTCATGGCCAGACTACCTTTCCCCGCGGTCGAACCAGTGCCGTTTTTTGCATCGTCGCTGAGGATATTGCCGTCGAGCGGAATGGCATTGATCAGGATTCCTACTTCGGTGAAAACACTGGCAGCGTGGTAGGTCAACTCCTCGCTCATCGCTTTCGTGTACCTGCCATCGCACAACTCCACCGCAGACGCAAGGCCTGGCAGAGGACCACTGACGAGTTCGCGAAGGACCGTCGCGATGGCCGATGCTGTGAATGGCTTGTTGATGATCAGGAGGGACAGTTTCGTGGCATGCGCGCGGATCAGAGACGCTGCATCGTGGGCGAGATTCAGGGCGTTGAGCTCGGACTGGGTGTGTCCTGTTGGGGCTGACGGGTCTTGTAGTTGGGAAATCAAGGCGGTGGCTGTGGCGACTGTGGCCCTGAGAGACTCGAGGTCCTGCTCGAACTTGTTGAAGGATTTCGCGGCCATCTTTGGGAATGTTTTTAGCTGTGATGGGGGGGTCGGTGGGTTGGTGGGTTGGTGGGGTGGAACAGCAAGATGTAAATAATTTTTTTTTATTAGTTGAACTACTATGTACGTAGTCCCTGTACCGAGTGAGATCGGCAATGGGGGGGGTCCCGCGGCGGTGGATATGACGCAGCGGGAAGGAGTATTACTGTACGTCGAGAAGAAATTCTAAATTCCAAAATAGATCATTCCGTAGGTTCCTGGTCGATGATCGATTTCCCACATTTGACAGCTGCGGGGCCGGCTGTTTACACATACTGTACTACCGGTAGTACCACTGTACTGTACGTACCAGCGATTTTGATCTATTTACAGTGTTGTCGAATCGGAACCTACTCGCGACCTTGAGACTTGACGAGGCGCATTGACTCTCTCTTGCTTGGTTTTTCGTTTTCGGCTGCATGGAGCATGGACGAGTGTCGGAATGTCGGAGTGTCGGTGTCGGAGTGTCGGAGTGTCGGTGACTGAGATGAGCCGATAGCTTGCCCTAGTAGTATTGGCGCCCGCTTAGTCGTTTACCCAAATACAGACATACGTATGGATTTCACCCATCTGACCCTCCGACTACATACATACTTGCAAACTCTCACATACAAGCAAAACATACAACGTACATGGATGCGTTACCATACTACTTACTCCCTTCTGCCGATGCCCTTCCTCCAGGACTGATACAACTATAAACCTTCGGAGAACTGGCCTTTCCAGGCCCAGACTGGGCATCATACCATACCAAGATCAAGCTCACCACCGCCTCCACGACCGCCTCCACGACCACCTCCACCTCCACCTCCCCCTCCGCCTCCGCCTCCTACCGGAATGTCTTCCCATGATAACTCGGGCAGCTACCTCCAGCAGATCTCCCGAATCGTCGGCACCGTGTACAGCTACATGCGACTCCCGGTCCTGGTCTCATCGGTTTGTAACGTCCCTGGCGGTGATGCATGTCGCTATACTTACACTGGCGGCAGGGTGTCGCTACTGCGCTCAGCTCCCTGCTCTATTTCAAGCAAAAGTATGTTCCATACGGAAAACCACGAGGGGAGGGAATCAATCCATTCTCTCCTCGCAATTGGCTTGCGCTGACCGTCGTAGAGCGTTGATCTACCCGTCGCACCTCCCAGATAATGCCCGCACCGATGTCGCTCGACCGTCCCAGTTCGGCATCACCGACTTCGAGGAGTTGATGATTCCCACCCCCGACGGCGAGCAGCTTTCGGCCTTCTACATTCGCCCCCCACAGACGGGTATGCGCAAAGGAATCACAATCCTGATGTTCCACGGAAACGCTGGAAACATCGGGCACCGAGTCCCCATCGCGCGGATGTTCGTCCAGAGAATGGGTTGCAGCGTCTTCATGCTCGAGTATCGTGGATACGGACTTTCCACGGGATCGCCAGACGAGTCCGGCCTCATGGTCGATGCGCAAACTGCCTTTGAATACCTACGCACACGCTCCGAGACCAGAGACAATGACATTGTGATCTTTGGCCAGAGCTTGGGCGGGGCAGTGAGCATCCAATTGACAGCCAAGCACCAGAACGACAAGAGATTAGTCGGGTTGGTTCTGGAGAACACATTTCTGAGCATGAGAAAGTTAATCCCGTCGTATGTATACGCATCCCTGTCGTGGTAATTCTGAAAGCCATACTAAAAATAGATAGCATCCTTCCCCCAGCGAAATATCTCACGCTCCTCTGTCATCAAGTCTGGGCCTCCGACACTTTCCTACCTTCTATCACCGAAGTTCCGATTCTCTTCCTGTCTGGTCTACAAGATGAGATAGTACCGTATGTTCACTATCTGTTTCCATTTCATGAACACTCCTTGAATGATGACTCAATTTCCATCCACAAAACCTGATCCCTTCTGGGACTTGATTATACACCTTGAGAACTTCTGACAACCATTACACTTTCCCTTTACTCTCGTCTCCTCCGACGTATCATAGAGCTGATTGGAACCAGACCAAGCCACATGCGCCGCCTTTACGAACTCTGCCAGACTCCTACGAAAGTATGGAAGCCCTTGCCCGGTGGAGACCACAATTCTAGCGTTGTCGAAGACGGGTACTTTGAGTCGATAGAAGACTTTATTGCGAATCTGGACACCAAATTTGGATAATGGGTTCCTTTTTTTTACTGCGGGCGTACAATGGACGGTGGGTCTGTCTTCTGCTGCATATTTGGCGTGGCGTCTGGGGTGTTTCGGGGGAGGGGCGGTGGCTCGATGCATTTTCCAAGGGACGACTTTCTTTTGTTTCTAGATTGGATGCATCGCTGGGGATGATTGACGACAGCTGAAGGAAGGGAATACAATATAAGGGAACCATACGGAAAAGTGTTCTCCACGTATGGCGTACTGTTAACGACCTGTGCTTTTGAGGGCCTTGCCATGATCTTCTTTGCGGCTGCATCTATGCCCGAGGCTGAGTGAGCATTGTATTTTCCAAGTGTTTTATTTCACTTGATGACACCTCGCTCTCAGTAAACATCTCTCTCTACGCCTCAAAACTCATGCCATTGCCGATAGAAATCATCATGACATTGAGTCGCACACCTACCTATAATCTGCAGCCGACCAGTGGCCCACGCGGAGCCTAGACGAAACAAGGGCTCTTTCTTTCAAAAATTTGCGTATATTTTTGAAAGCAGGACAAAATGGGTATTTTGCGCGCTGGGAAGTAACTTCTTATTCTCACAAATTTAGGTATAAACATACACGCGTGCTAAAACCAGACGCTGCTGTACAAGTACCTATGATCGTCGTCGTTGTTATCATAATAGAAAGAAATTGACCTGGGTTGAGATTTATTGAAAAATCAGAAGCCTTTAATGTACCTAAGTAAGCAAGCATTTGAGATCAGCGGATGATAGCTACCTATCTACAAGTATCTAGGTATCTGTCCACCTATCAAGCTGCATTGAAGATTATTACCTAGAATGGAATTTAGATACCGTACATACGCACGGAGAACGTGCTCTGTACTCTGCACACGCCATGTAAGCAAGCGAGAGCTTGTAAAAATAGGTCATGTCGTTTTCGGGTCTTCAGATGACAAATCACAGGAGGGGAATGCTACCGGGTACGGTACTTGGTGCGTCGAGAGAGGAAGGAGCTCGCTCCGAGGATATCTACGATTGGCCTGGTCATTTACCAGGTATACTTTGATATCTTCCTTGTACCGTGTAGATGGATTCTGTGAGCTAGCGAGTTCATGAGCGAGGGCCGGGTGATAGCTGTAGAACAACCGCGCTGGAGCTTCTTCTGTGAGGGAGTATGCTGGCCCCTTCAGTTGTTTTGGGGAAGATCTAGTTCGAAGCGAGTAAAGAAGCAAGTTATGGCCGCAGACTTGTATCGTAGCAAGAAGTAGAGGACGGAAAGATGAGAGGCTTGGGCTTCTCAAAATGCAGATGGCGACTTGGCAAGAGATACTGGTTACATACGGTATAAAGCCTGCTGGGAGAGAGAGAAGATTGATCCGGAGGATAAAACGAACAGTAATGGAAGTTCAATGCTGCAAAGACTCTCTCATACACGAGGCCGCAAATTCGGACCATTTCGCTGCTTTCAGCATACAACGCCCGCCGTCTCGCGGTACGATCCCCCGAAAAACACATGTGGGTTTCCCTCTGCCGTCTCTAACCACGCCTCCAGTCTCATAGTCCCCTTCATCCACAGAGGCTTCTCAGAAAGCCAACTCCTTCTTAATTTCCGCAATCGCCATCCCTGGGTTTAGACCCTTAGGGCACGTCCTCGAGCAGTTAAGAATGGTATGGCATCGGTACACGCTCATACTGTTGTCCAAGGCCGCCTTGCGTTCCTCTTTCTTCTGGTCACGCGAATCCGCTAACCATCTGTAGCTCTGCATCAGGACAGCCGGGCCAAGGTACTCCTCCGAGTTCCACCAATACGAAGGGCAAGAAGTCGAGCAGCAGGCGCAGAGAATGCACTCGTAGAGACCGTCGAGCTTCTTGCGGTCCTCTTTGGACTGCAGGTATTCCTTGTTATTGGGGCCGGGGCCGGAGTGCTGGAGGTATGGCTTGATGGACTTGTATTGCTTGTAGAAGAGGGTAAGATCGGGGACAATGTCCTTCACGACGTAGGTGTGGGGGAGCGGGTAAATCTTGGATTCTTTCTTGGTGTCTGTAGGAATGCGGCCTGTGCGGAGAGAGGAATCAGCTTGTGTTCAGAATAGCCAAACGCTGGGGAGATTGGGGGAGGCCCGAGGCATTGGAAGATCCGGAAAAAAAGATGGGAATAACGTACACAAGCAAGCAAGCGTGTTGACACCGTCAATATTCATGGCGCAGCTTCCGCAAATACCCTCTCGGCAACTCCGTCTAAAGGTCAACGTGGGATCAACCTCGTTCTTGATGCGGATCAACGCGTCCAACATCATGGGGCCCGTCTTGTTCAGATCCAGGGTGTAGCTCTGCATACGAGGCTTCGAAGTCGGCTCATCGGGATTCCAGCGGTAGATGTGGAAGGTCTTTGTCTTCGCCGCAGGATCACTGGAGGTCTCCACAGTCTGGGAAGTCTTGCTGGCGGGCGCAGCTCCTGTCGTCGCATGCGAGGCAAATGCGCGTACGGGCATTGCAGAGCGGAAAGCTGGTCTGCTGGCCGCGAAGAGGCGGGAGGTTGAGCGGAGGGAGGCCATCGTGGTCGTGGTCGCAGTCGTAGGCGAATGGAATCGAATCAAATCGAATCAAATCAGATCGGGATGTTGTTCTTGAAAGGAAAAATTGTGATTTCTGATCAGGGCTTGCTGTTCTCAATCTGGATGCGCGGAGTGTATAAAGCGCATTGAAATTTGAAGTTGTGTTGTCGGGGGCGTTGTTGGCGTCAATAGCAGAGTTTGAGGTTTTGAATGTAGACGTCGTTGATTGATGGCGATTGTTTGACTTTGACCTCGGGAACCGAGCTCGGACAAACACCCTTCCGGTGGAGCAGCCCCCCCCTGCCCAATCAAAGGGGGTCTTTTGACAATCGATCGCTTGCTGGGGGGATTTATCGGGATGTCACGGGATCGCCACCTCGATCTCAAGATTCGCCGTTCTTGATGTCTTACTTGGGCTACACTGACATCTGACCGGAGCGCGATTCATGTATGCCTGGTTGCTTAACGCTCCGACATTTTGATGCATCCGAGTTTTGACATTCTGAGATTCTGAGATTCTGAGATTCTGATATTTCTGATATTCTGATGTTTGGAAAGAACTGTAGAAACGCATCGCCGCTGGAAGAACTCTTACCCGCTCCGTAATCTGCGGCCGCCTTTCCGGTCGGTCGCGAGTCGGCGCCGACATTCTGTTCAGAACCTCGGTACGGAAGGGAGCTCGAAATCGTATGCCGATGACATCCGTATAGGTAGAAAGAGCTGATGTCCATTATTACATTATCTTTTATCTTCAACTGTCAAGACATAGAAACTCGGAAGCATTGTCTGGCGAAAGAACGATATTGCTTAATTATCAATGATCGACAAAGCGAGAACCCCTGAAGTGCTTAGTTAGACGTGACGGCACTGTAAATCGTAAATCGCGTCTTCCTCTCCCACCGAACGCACTTCCTGACTGCTCACCTCGCCTCCCCTCAGTCCTCGGCCCTCAGCCATACATGTATATTCCGCATGGAGCGCAAACCCTCGCTTCTTTCTTGACAAGCCAAAATCATCTATCTTTCTACCATCCATCTGTCTGTGTACGGCACAACGGAAATGGAGACTGTATTCCCCCACCTCACGTCTACCGGGCCAGCTCCCTCGTATCGCCAGGTGATGGACGCCTACCGCGCAGCTTATGCCCGCCGCGTCGAAGAGGGTGCTTTGCGACCTCTCGTTCTCCCGTACCATCTCTACGGTTCTATGGCCCTCCTCGCATACCTATGCATACCGCATACGAAGAGTCCGCTTATATATGCCGCACGATGGCCGGTCCTCTTGGCTATAATTGCTTTTCAGTGGAAAACGGTCAATGAGGATTCGAGTGTTATGATGGCGACAGGATATGCCTCGGGTCTGACTGGAGCTTGGGGTGTTATACTGAGTGTGACGTGGTTGGTGTGGAATAAGCCGCAGTTTGATGCGCAGAGAGTGAATAGGAGGGTTCGGAAAAGACAAGCCAATGGAGCTCCTCCGAGAGAAGAGCCAGACGGGAAACCCAGTGTGCACAGGAAAGAGAATGGATCGGCGGATCTGAATTATCGAGGATCACAGCCTACAGGAATGTCGAACGGGAAGTCTGCGAAAGGCTCAAGTGACCAGGAGATAGAATACTACTGGCAGTCATATCCCGACAACTTCACGGACCGATTCTACTGGGTATCAGACCTTCTGCTCAACTTCCGCCTTCCGGGATGGAACATTGCTATCCCACCTCTACCGGCCCTTCCACCCTTCGTCAAGACCTCGCTCGGAGAGCCCGTTGAGGCCAAGTCAAGATCCGGACTCTCGAGCATCGGCCTCCAGAGACACGACACCCGAGCAGAACTGGTCCGCGCAATTATGCCCAACTTCTTGGTCGGGTACTTCGTGATGGATGTTCTGAAAGTGGTCATGATGAAAGACCCTTACTTTATCTTTGGGCCAACAACCTACGCGCTCCCGTGGTACCTTGAAGGATGCTCGCCGTTCACCGTCCAGATGATCCGTCAGACCATTAGCTCAGTCGCTGTTATCGTCTCGCTCGAAATGGCCTTCCTCCTCGCACCAGTCTTCATCACTCTTATCTGCGGACCTCAGGTCTTCGGCCTCCGAGCAGAAGCCTGGTACTGGCCCAGTAGATGGGGATCGTGGTCGAACATCACCAACAAAGGTCTCGCCGGTCTCTGGGGTGGATGGTGGCATCAGACCTTTCGCTTTGTCTTTTCCGCGCCCACCAATTTTCTCATCAGAGAGGGGTACGTAACTGCCAAGTCGCCAGCTGCCAAGTTCCTCGCGCTGTTCTTTGCGTTTGGAATTTCCGGGTTCTTGCATTACTGCGGCAGTATAAGCCAGTTTCCCAGCACCTGCAAATGGCACGCCCCACTCTTCTTCATGCTGCAGCCGGTGGGAATCGTTCTTCAGATGGTCGTGTGCACGGCTCTGGGGCCGGCGATCACGAAGATGCCTCGGGCGGTGCGGAAGTTTGGAAACTTTGCTTTCGTCTTTGCGTGGATGTTCTATACCGGGTGGTGGCTGACGGACGATTTCGCGCGTGGTGGGATCTGGCTCTACGAAGCTCTTCCGATCAGCCCTCTGCGTGGACTTGGGTTTGGCGTCGCGGGTGATGGATGGTGGTGCTGGGAGCCTCTTGGTATCGGGTGGTATACTGGCAAGCACTGGTGGGAGAGTGGGATCGGATTATAGAATCTGGGTGAGCATGAGGATGTAATGAATATGAGCATGATGATGAGTATGAGTGATGAAGTTGTTGCATAGCGGGATCCATGCACTGCATTGCGTTTGGCGCTGGCTGGTATGAGTCTACGATATCTAACGAGGTTGGCAATATGAACTCCATCGACTTTGACTGCAATCTATAGATACGTAGAAGTAGTATGGTGGTAATATGTGCAGCCCCTGGCCCTTGCCTAATCAACGATGGAGACGAAAGTTTATGTCAACAATGTCAACATCAATACAAGCTTCAACCGAAAGTTAAGCCTTCGGGGGTTGGCCATCAAGCTTCGATGGCGCCATCGCGTCTACCCGTCACGTCGTTGTGTTTCCATTACGTTTGAGACTCCTTCTTGTCTTGCCTCTCCTCGCTCGCTTGTTTGCTTGTGCGCTGCTCTGCTCTGCATACAGCGTCTCGATCTCGTTGAGTTTGCAAAGTGCATTTTTTTTCCCCTTCGTTTGAGTTCGCAGGAACGCTCTTTGGCCTCGTTAGTTTGTTTACCTTGGTAGTTAGAGCCTTGGCTTGACGCCCTGCCCTTTGCACTTTGTTCGTGTAACGGATCGGCTTTTTTTCTTTGGCGGTGCGGTTCGATATAAATCGTCGCTGGTTGCGCCCTCCCTTTGTTGGCTGGTCTGGTTTAGTCCCATCACCTTGAAGACAGACGACTGTGCGGCTTTCCTAGGTACTTTTTCCCTCTTCTGGCATCGCACCCTTCCCCCACCAAACCAGCGAAAACACACCAACAACATATCTACCAATCTACATATCTACCTACCTACCTACCCACCTACCTACCTCCCTCCCTACTTATAACTCGCAACCAGGAGCCATGGCAGCAGTTCCTCGATCCCTGGCCGAGATCAGTCGCAGCGACTCCTCAAGCTCGCAGAAGCGCAGCGCCCTCTCCCACGGCCGTGGCGGCGCCGGCAACATGGGCCCTCCCGACCCATCCGCCGAGCCCGTGAACCTCGAGACGCCGACGCTGAAGGGCGAGATGTACACCACGGGGCGGGGCGGGAGCGGGAACATGGCCAAGAACGACATGGGGGAGGAGGCGAGGCGGGCGCAGGATGTTGTTGGGTATGTACCTACCTACCTTACCTTAACCTTTGTGCCCTCTGCCCTTTGACGAGTTCACGATTGGGGGACTGGTCTGACGGGATGGTGTTTGTACAGCCAGCCCAGGCGCGAAAGCGGAAATACCACGCACGTCGGCCGGGGCGGCGCAGCGAATGTCTTCAAGCCGTCCCCTGCCGAGCTGGAGAAGATGAGGAAGGACGGCGGCAACTGGGAGACCGCTGTGGGGGACGATCGGAACGAGGACGGGGGGGAGGTGCTGGCCAGTAGTGCCGGGTTCAAGAAGGAGGACACGAGGAGTGATGCCGACCGGAGCAAGGGGCTGGCGGACCGGGGCAAGGAGTGGATTATGGGGAAGCTTGGGAAGTGAGTTCGTCGCGGAGGATTGGAGAGGGTCGGGAAATCGACTCGGGATGGAATTGGGGCCTAGGAGGCTTGGGAGGGTGCGCGAGGAGAGTGAGTGGGTGATACCCAACGTTGCATTTTTTTTTTTTTTCACTCACTGACATGGGATTGCGCTGACTACAAACTGACGGATATTTGGCTATTCTTTTCTCGGTTGTTTGTTTGTTTGTTTGCTTGCTTGTTTGTTTGCTTATTAATCTGTTTGCTGGTAATTGAATTTTGATCTAAATCGGCCATGGATAGTAGGTGATTAACGGAGTAAGCTTGGAGGCAGGACATTATAGCAAGTGTCGATGGCAATGGCAGCAATGACCATGGTGGTGTTAAAGCATATTTACGCCAATATCTCCTTCTAGTTGTAGAGTGTTTTCCCACGCGGTTGATAGAACCCCAAGGAAAGCGCTTCGTCTCCAGGTCTTGAAATAGACCCCGCTTAATAAGCGGCGAAAGCAGAGCCCAAGTAAAGACCTAGCCTACGGTCGACTATGGAATAGTAAAATGGGCGGTTAATCGTGAAGCGGGCGTGATATACGTCGACGACCCCTGACTCGATCAATCGAAATGCCAATATTTTGGGGGCTCGAGAGAGAGAGAGACACTGGACGTTGTACATACGGACAGGCGGCTGGCTGCTGTATGCTGTATGCAGCCTGGTGGCGTGCATCTGGGCAGTACAAATTAATGTCCCGAAATGCTAGGTATCGTTTCACGGCATAACGACCTAATGCTGTGTTCATTTCGCGCTTACCGATTGATGGACGGGGAATCGGAGCTTGTTGAGTTGATTTATGCAGCTCTCTATCAGGACCATGCTCTTCAAATGCGGGAGCCATGATTGGATATTTTATGTATATATATATAGATGTATAGATGTATAGATGTATAGATGTATAGATGTATAGATGTATAGATGTATAGATGTAAATATGTATATGTATACATATTCAAGACGTTGTACGTACGTACCTTTGGGTGGATACGCGATGGCTAGCTCACATACCTCGGCGCTCGATCAGCTTGAACCAAACCCCGTTGATCCATCCGGGTTGTGTACATACCGGTACATATCTTTCTGGAACAGGCGTTGGAGGGCCTGGGCTAGCCAGTGGGTGGTATCTCGAACAGGCGTGGTCGGTCCAACGATCTGGATGGCGGGTTCCCTTGCATTGGGATCTGGTCGTGGGGTGATACGCAGTGCCTGGGTGAGGTTTCTCGAGGTACGTGTGCGAGGCTGTGGTAGCTAGGAGGATGATCCGCCTCTTGGAGGTTTTGCCTTGAATGATGAGGAGTGGTTGCGTGCTTCGGGGTGAGATCTGCGATTCAGCCGAATGTATGTATGTACGTACCGTGCTGTATAGCCTATAGCCTGTGGTCGTCTTCGAGGGATACTGACTATACGGCACTAGATCCCAAGCCCAAGCACTACTTACACTCTGGCCTGGAGAGTAGCAAGACGATTTGCGAAGCTTGTATAAAGGCAATTCTACTCGCCGTAGCACTTGCTCCCTTCCGACTTGAACAATTCCTCTGAAAAGGTAGAAAGCCATTGCCGCTCGTCCAGAAGTCGGGTTACGTAATATGTACCTACAAGTTCTGGTGTTCTTCTCTGCGTAGGACACAAGAGGTTTGAGTCTATGCTCTGCATTCTTTACTGTAGCTAGGTCTGTGGGCAGACCCTCTACCGGCCGCTGCCCTTGCAGGACACGAAGTACGTAGTAGCAACAGACCTCTAAGCGTACCGTAGCTACCGTATACCGAAGCAGAATAAGCGAGACACAGACGACTAACAAACTACCGGTATACTGTAGGGCGATACCGATACATCCGTCAACCCCGTAAGAAGATGTTACTGTAAAGACAATTGAGAGATTTCGGAGCCAAGAGCCAAGTTATCTCACTCAGTTCTCCTAAGTATAGAGTCAATGCCACAGCCAAGAGCTTAGTAAGGTGGACGGTTTCAAGAGATACTTCGTAAGTAACGATCACTGATCTGTCGACCTGCGTACAGTAATTATTTATAAGCATAAGTTATCTCGACCTGCAGATCCCCTATCGGCTTAGTTTGCTCTTGGTTCGAGATTAACTCTGTGCCCTGGCCCTTGACCTGTCTTTTCGGAGTACAGGCTATGGCAATTCATACCGAATCAAGCTAAGATACCTGAGTAAGTTAACTGAGCTCCGAAAACTCTCCTTCGGAATTAACTCGGTTAAATGATAGTGGGGTTGATGGAGTCGCTACGCATGTTAGGTTAACTTTGGTTCCGAAATCTCTCTAACGAATCATACATCACAAGACAGCTAGCTGATATATACTACTACAGTAGCGATATAGCACCTTTTAAATGACGTGCTTGAAATGATAGATAGCTAGATGTGAGATAAGCGAGGTTGTATTAAACCAATCCAACAGGAATGGCTCGCGGTTTTTCGGCAGCAGATATTTCTCCGATGTGAGATGGTCTGCGAAAGGAAAAGCGAGATGGCTCAGCTCAGACGGCTATACAGAGTATATTATGAAAAGCGGATATCCGATAGAATCTCAACAGCTCGGAAAGGCATTTGATTTTGTGATATACCTAAGGATACAACAAGGGAGATGGAGGATAAGTAAGTAATACTTAGCTAATGCAGACACAACTACCTACTTAGAACTACAATATCGGTTGGAATACCGTATTGGCTTGATTCCTAATCTCGTACTGGAATTGGCCTGGCTACTCGCACAGGATGTCGGTAGCTCTCAGCTCTCTCTTACTCGCTGTATAATCGACATCTTCTGAACCCTTGATTCTACTGTAGCAATGAGGTAGCCAAAGGTTCCAAACAGTCTTTTGCTGTGCCGTGGATAGCGCTCGGTGGAATAATATATACATTTTGTTATAGATGCGGACGTTCAATCTTAGCGACCTACACATATCGTGTCAGCCGGCTACCAAGGTAGGAACAAGCTATATATCCACCTACCGTATCAGCCCTATACCTCCGATTTTTCCATGAAAGGATTCGAACACATGTAGGTCCTGTCGTTATATTCCTCTCTTATCCTGTTCTCTTATTGTGTTCTCTTATCCTTTCCTCTTATCCTATTTTCTTATCCTTTTCTCTTATCCTTTTCTCTTTTCTCTTTTCTCTTTTCTCTTTTCTCTTTTCCCTTCTCTCCTCTTCTTCTCTCCTCTCCGCCTGTACAAGTATATATATTGAACAGCCGTCAGCCCCACCACCTCAACCCTGCAGGGACCCAGCGCCGGCCCGGCACCAGGACGGAGAAAAGGACCATAAGCGGGTCGGTGTCAGCTGCAGAAACGATACCTTACCGGTATATGACCCAGGCCGGGCTTGCAGACCGGAGAGTCACCGGTATATACTTACGGAGTACACTTACGGAGTATACTTGCGGAGTATAATCGCGGAGTATATTTACGGAGTATACTTACGGAGTATACTTACACTTCACTTACTCTACGGAACGAGGAGGAGATGATTTCTAATAGGGAGATCGGTACCCCTCCAACAGGTGGATCATACCAGTAAGGTACGTACAGGTCGTTGTCCGTAGGTAGGTAAACCTAATTTCAAGATCAGTAGGACAATATAGTTTATACAAGTAATGTAATATAATTTACCAAGTCTTGTTTCTCCATAGAATACCAGGGCCCAAGCTCATCAGCTCCGTCGGCAGATCGTCATCCCCAACCTAACCGGCGCCAGTCTACCTGACTTATTAACAAGCACCTCCACCTCCACCTCCACCTCCACCTCCACCTCCAACCACCAACCTCCAACCTCCAACCTCCAACCTCCGACCTCCAACCTCCACCCTCCGACCTCCTCCTGCTGTATATCTGGATGGTACAAATATCGGCTTTACTTACATTACCGTACCAAATCGAACCGACACACGAACGCCGTCGCCGCACCAACTCGAAAGAGATCGCATGTCGCGAGTCGAGATCCTCCAAAGACGTCCGTCACATCAGCACCCAACTGCTGCCAATCCCATTCATTCTACGACGGTGACGAGACTGCGACCACCAACCCAGATTCTTTCGCTGAATTATCTTCCTCCATCCTGCGTCCTCCTTCCGATTCCACGATGCAGACATACGCAAAACAATCCCCTCCACACGAAATACACCGAGGCCCCTTGCCCAGTATGAACGATCCATATCGATCAGGCCCCAGCGGGAACCAACCTCAGTATCCTCCATACTCCTCTGTGCCATACCAGCAACAGCAACAGCAACCGCAACATCAATATCAACACCAACACCAACACCAACCGCCAGCACCCGATTGGGCCCATGGGCCACCTCCTCCCACCGAGTATCAATCGCAGAATCCGCTTCCTGATTCGAGACTCCCGCCCGCATATTTTCCAGGAGGAAACTTGCCGCCTGGAAACCGAGGGAACCCACCTCTGGCACCAGGAGCCCAGCCAGATGCCCGAGAGCCGCTGAATCGGACGAGCGTCGTGGATGGCAGGAAATACGAGTATGCCTCTCCTCAACCACCCCTCATCATTTCTAACTGCTACAGGCTTGTCGTTATGCAACAACCAGTACGGGCACGAATGTGTGGTTTCGGAGACAAGGTATACACCATGGATGTACTACAAACCTTCAATCGTGATGGTTACTAAATAAAACCTTTACAGGATCGCCGCCCGATTACCCCTCCACCATGTGTCCGGCTGAAAGTCACTGACGCGGCGACTGGAAAAGAGATAGATTGCAGGTAAGTCTTGCTGGCTTTTGGAGCAACTGCCCTCTCCACCTTAGCTGCCTATCTTAGCTTACCATGATACAGCGATATCGAGCACAGCATGTTCATCATAAGCGTCGACCTCTGGTCTGAATGCGGCAGGGACGAAGTAAATCTCGTCCGCCACTCCATGGCATCACCCTCAATCTCTGCTACAAGCCCCATTTCCTACGCAGAAGCCATCCAGAGAAATTCATTGACCTTCGGCCTTTATCAGGCTGAGCAAGGCTTGCCGTTCAATTCATATCCGGGCAGGCCTCAGGTTAGCTCGGGTTTTCAATTACCTTCACAAGCGCATTATCAGCATAACCAATACACCCAACCCCCCAATGGACAACATGCTCCTCCGAATGGCCACGCACAACAACCCCAGCAGGCCTTCTTTCCAGGAGGCCCTCCTCCCAGGCCTTGGGAATATGGTGCTCCACATCAGCAACCGTCCTCCCATCAATTTGGTCAAGAAGGCCCTCGGCCATATCCGCAACAAGATATGGTCGCCCCAAGAGGACCACTGGGCAATAGTAGTCCACAGGGCATGTTCACTCGGAACTTGATTGGCCAGCTCGCGACAAGCGCGTTCAGATTGATAGATACCGAAGATAGGATCGGAATCTGGTTTGTCCTTCAAGATCTATCGGTTAGAACAGAGGGCTCCTTCCGGTGAGTATTCTCCACCCTCTTTCCCAATATCGAAAGCTCATACTGGTAGCCTCCGGTTCTCGTTTGTCAATCTGGGCGTGCCACCCTCACCCGCTAATATTCAGCTGAGTGGTACGGGCCCTGGGGTGGCAGTGAACACCACTAAAGCCCCTGTCCTTAGCACTGTCTTCAGCGATGTCTTCACAGTTTACTCCGCCAAGCGCTTCCCTGGTGTCGTCGAAAGCACCGAGCTCAGCAAAATTTTCTCTATGCAGGGCATCAAGATTCCTATCCGCAAAGACGCTCTCGTTAAAGGGGCACACGAGGAGAAGGATGATGACGAATAGATCTTTCGACGCTGCCTCTTGTTATGAATTTAGTCCGTCCGGTCCAACTCGCACGCCGTATCCGATTCTCCGAGACACCGCACAATTCAGCTCCCGGAGGATGTCCCCCTCCAACTAGCGCATGGGGAAATAGCCCCTACGAGGCCCGTGTATTTTACTCACGCCCTGGGGCAGAGAGTGTGCTCCGAGTTCAGGTCTTGATTATTTGGGTCCCCAGGCTGGAACTACCCCGGCTGAGTCTGAGTCTTCAACTGTACCCACACCTCGACAATGCTACGTTCCCAGGCGAAGTCGTCACTTTGAAGAACATGTCCTCGCTGTCCACGTCTGCACCTATATTGATCCATGGGATGAGCCGCGGAAATTTACCGTACCCGGACGCCAACAGATTCGGCTTTTCCGCGTGGTGCGGACTCCAGAATTTGGCGGCGCCAGCTCTTGTTGGAAGCATGCAATATCGATATATACTCGCAAAGTGTTTCCACTTATAAGATGGGAAGCTGGGGATCCACCAGTTCGAACTTGCGTTCGAGTTTTTATGTACTGCGGTACGAGCCGTCGAACAGACGTCGAATATAAATGTAAAGTGTATCAGAAACTATGAAACGATATTAATTATAATATACTATCCGTGACCGTCTCCCGTCCGTCTCCCGTATCCACATCTATAAACGAATGGGATACGGTCGGTAATTGACTGATTGATGAAGAAGTATTTAATCCCTCATTGTATTACCCAATAACCCAATATCTCTTTTCATCTACCTATTCATCCCGCCTGAGTCGCTTAATACGCTCATTCACCTACCGACTATCTGTCGTCCGTTTATAAGATGGAGAAGTGACCGAGAGAAGTAATAAATGAGCGAGTAAATGAACGAGTGATACGTTCAGAAGCGGACGTATCCAGACCATCGGCCTGAGAATAAGTGGAAAGGAGCGGCAGCCATATTCTGCATCGACGATTCTGAAAAACAGCCTTTCGAGGTAGGGTGTACCGAGATGGATATGTTGTTGGTTAATTGGTTGATTGGTTAGTGAGTTGGTACATAGTTTTGCTAGCTTCCTATCTATATCCTGTCTATATGTGCATATCTACAAACAAACTGCTGAAGCTGCAAAGTCAATCATCCTCTGGTTTCCTAGATGGTGGGAAGTGGCAGTTCCTGCTGCTGCTACTTTAGGAGGGTGGGTGGGTTGGTGGGCTGGTTGGTTGGTTCGTTCAAGTCGACTGCAATCGTACAATAAATAGTCTTATGGTGAGTGAACGAATGAATGAACGCCTCCGGTTTGGAAACGTATGCAACCAGTCGGTTGGTTACTCCCACACAGGCAGGCCGCACCTTTTACCGCCTTGACGTTGCTCTTTCGTTCTTTCTCTCTTTCTCCTTTCTAATTTCCAATAGGCCATCAGATGAAAGTCAATCAAATCAGGCACTCATTCGCCGCCCGAGCTCGCGTGCCCAAAGTCGCTATCCAGATCTAGAACGTCCTCCTCACCGTCCCTGTACGCCCCTAACAGCACGTCATCCTGGCCGAGTTCACCGAAGCCGGCCTTCTCAGCGCTGCGCACCCATTCTGTCTCGGTGCGGAAAAAGATCCACATCCATCGCCTCATGACCTCCAGGAACTCCGTGAGAAAGATAATGGACTCAAAGTTGGCGAAGTGATCGAGGTGCGGCGAGAGCTTCATGGACCAGGTACAGCGGAGCAGCAGGTCGAGGAAGATGGCAGCGTAGTAGATGGCCGGGCTAGGGAAGTAGAGGCGCGAGCGCAGCCCGAACGGCATCGGCTTGCTGCTGCTCCTGCCGCTGCGAGCGCGGGATATGAGAGTGGTGAAGAGCGTGAGGTCCCAGTCCTTGGCGACGTCCCAATAGAAGCTGTACATCGAGTTGAGCAGCACGGCGACGAACCAAGCGCGGTAGAGCGGCTTCTCTGTGAGGCGGGTAGGATCTTCGTTTAGGTTCAGGTTACGCTGTACAGAGGACAGGATGATGACGGGGAACGCCGAGGCGTACTTGAGAGCGTTGGCGAGATGCTGGCCGCCCCATCCATGGGAGCCCATTCCCCCGTTCCTGCGGTTGGAAGAGCGCACGCGCAGGTACTCGGTCAGGCATTGTCGGATGCGGATGAGCGATGGGAGAGAGATTATGATCGGTACGAGATATTGTCCGCCGCATCCGCGGTCGGGGCGTTTAGTGGCAGACCCATTGCGCGAGAAGAACATGCAGAGGGCCACGAACAAGTCCGCTATTACCTTTGCGTAGGACGTGAGCACGTCTGCCAGCAAGATATCGCCGAATTTCCCATCGTGAGGTTGTGCGAGGCCACCAATTGCGACGCGTAGGAGCATTTTCAGAAATCTCGTTCGTCCTCCGGAGGAAAAGCGCCGGGGGAGAACGAATATGAGGGCGAGCAGGACGAGGAGCGACATGGGCAGGGAGTCGTAGTAGATCACTAGGCTTGGGTTACGGCGCGAGACGGCCCAGAATATGAGCAGAGAGAGGGCTGTAGGCAGGGAGAGAAGGAGACCCAGCCGGTAGGTTGCGAGGTAGTGAGGGAGGTCTGTTCGAGGGGAGGCTCGCGGGGGGTAGTGGAGGAGCGAGGGGACGTCCTGGTGGTTGAGTAACTTGGGTGAGCTGGGGCATGGAAGGGAGGAGGAGGAGGAGGAGGAGGAGGAGGAGGAGGAGGGTTGGAAAACGGGACAGGGAGACGAACAATCTTGACGAGAGAGAGGTAATGGAGGTTGGCGCCCCATGCCCATACACCTGGACAGTGTCAATAGAGATATGTATGTCAAAGCAGCGGAGAAGATATACCTAGTACAAACATCAATGAAATTCGGTAGGGCAAGGGGAGTATAAGACTGAAGGAGTCGAGTTCTGACTCCACAGCCGGGTCGCCATCCATTGTTACCGCTGAGAAGAAGGCCGCATTGAAGGACGACCGACTGCTGCACGCGATTGAAAGAGTGGCTAAGGTGAGGCGACGGCGGCGGTGGCGGTGGCGGTGGTGGCAGCGACGTCGAGAATTGGGTGTGGGTGTGGATGTGAGTGTGGTGTGGTGTATATGGAGTCGAGGGGAGGATAGGATTCTTCCTCCAAAAGGCTACGTAGGTACAGAGAAGAATCTACGGTAGATTCTAGATGCGCCTTGGCTAGTGCAGAAGTGAGATGGCCCGAGGTCCGGACCACAAGACAAAAGCTCCCCGTCGCGAACTTCCACTTCTTCAACCCATCACCCATCACCCATCACCCATCACCCATCCTGAGAAACGGAAACGCTCCGTGTTCGAAGAGGAAAAATACATCTTCAGTTCAGCATGGCAGACCGTGTATCTGAGAAAGTGACTGCCACCCCATCTTTCAATTACCCGTTCGCCGCCGCCCCCGACATCATACGCGCCCACCAGAAGGACTCTTACTTCGAAGGCATCCTACTCAACCACCTCTCAGCCCTCCTGCGGCGTCTCTACGGTGCAAGATTCCTGCACACCTATACATCTGAAGCTCGATCATTTTCGGAACTGCTGTACCTGAGTCTCACTACATTCATTGGGAACAGGACTTTGGGCGAGGAGTACTGCGACATAATACAAATAGAGGATGATACTCTGAAGCTGCCGGCACTGGAGAGGAGGGCTGGATATATCCTGTCGAGTGTACTGCTGCCATATGGATTGGCAAAGATACTGCCCAGTTTCCGGGCAAGGATACGAGCGAAGCTGGAGGGGAATTTGAGGAAGATGGGCCGGCGTAAGGAGGAGGCGAGTAGGAATTACAGGATACAGACGTATCTCTTGGAACACCTCGCAACCATCACCTCGCCATCACCACTGCACGCATTGACGTTAACGGTGTTCTACTTCTCGGGGGCCTACTACCAGCTCTCCAAGCGGATATGGGGGTTGCGGTATATCTTCACCAAGAAGATTGCGCCGAGCGAGGCGAGGGTGGGATATGAAGTGCTGGGGGTTTTGCTCTTACTGCAGATCGGCGTACAAGCCTGGCTGCATCTCCACCACACCCTACGGACGCCCAATCCCGTGCCAGCAAACGCCAGCCAAATGAACGGGGGCAGCGCCATCCTCGAGGGCGGCGTAGAAATCTCACTGGAGCCTCCGTCCCACGGCAATGAGCTACTTTTCGAATCCAACAACGTCGTCTCGCATACCGGGAATGAAGTTGGGATTGTGACGCACACTCAGGTTTTAAAGGAACCGAGGTATGATCTAAGGAAAGAAGACGTGATGGGATTCATCAAAGGCCAGAACAGGAAGTGTACGCTGTGCTTGGAGGAGCTGAAGGATCCGAGCGCGGCCGCTTGTGGGCATGTCTTTTGCTGGGAGTGTATTGGGGACTGGGTGAGGGAGAAGCCGGAGTGTCCGCTTTGTAGGAGAGAGGTGGGTTTGCAGCACATCTTGCCGTTGAGGGCCTGATGGAATTTGAGGACAGATGATGGACAATATTGGAGAAACGCTATGATACCCACGATACGATGACATGGATCTCAGCCGCAAATAGGTGAGCTAGGCAGTAAGGAACATACATGCATGATCCCCACCCCATTTCTTTTCTCTACAGATTCCCAGTTAGACCCTCTACTCTTCCATACTCGAGCTGAGTACGAGACCGAGGTTGTAACGGTACTTTCTCGAAGAAAACTGGCTTTCTTGTCTCCGAACTCAGGGCCACCGGTTACACAGGCACGTACCTCAATCTCGCTTAAGTATCATGCAAAACAAAACATTCCGGGTAGAGAGATCTCGCTAAAATGATTCCCTCTGTTGTTGTTTTTCCAGTAAATCTACCTAGCCCCTGAGCCCCATCGAGTGCAGATTCGGCTGTAGTAGTGTCGCTGTACTTCGTATCTTCCTTCTATCGTTTTCCACGCTTAGTCAGTTTTCCCCCCATTAATCCCCCTTTTGAATAGCCATCAACTTCATGATGGGATCCACAGCAATCACCGACCGCGCCAATCTGGAACTCAGGTTTTAAATTTTTTGGTGAGATATCTCCTCATGTTACACCCCATGTCCCTTTGAACGAGCCTCGCTTTTGTTCCTATCCTATCCGAACGCCGTACGTGCTTTCCAATCCGCTATGTCCTCATCCCGCTGCCCGCAATCATGTACCAGTACATATTCATATGATACACGCTCCCCTCTTCCTCTTCCATCGGGTCCAGCAGCGGCCTCATCCCCATCCACCTGTTCTTCTCACCCTCCTGCACAAACTTCGCGCCCATGCGTCTCAACCCCTGCGTCTCCTCCAACATCTCCTTCTCATTGAACGTCGTGAAGGCAGTCGGAAAGCCGGCTTCCACTAGATACTCAATCGTGGGCTTCCACTCCTCCTGCGCCTCCTGCGAGTGTCCGGAATGGAACACCACCGCCAGATCCGGCAGCGCGAAGTCCGCTCCCTTCACGTATTCATGATAGGAGCCTTGGAACATGCTCATCGTCCGGCTTCTTCCGGCGTTGGTGCACGGAGGACAGCAGTCCAGCGCCACGCTATGCGTGCCCTCCATCGGCTTGGGCAGCTGGGGCCCGACGAACGCGTAGCTGAGGGCGCGTAGTTTGGGAAGCAGGTGCAGCAGCTCCTCAAACAGCATCAGGGCGTCGAGTTCCTTGCCCGTGGCCCCGACCAGGTGCAGCGTGATGTGCTCCTTGGTGGGCAGGTCGGGGATTGCGGCCTCGAAGGCGGCGAGCGTGGTGAGGATCATACTGTGCTTGTCGCTGGCTGCTGTCAGCGCGCTCGCCAACTGGTCGTACTCCGGCTGGAGAGGTTGGAGGTCGGGCGAGATCTTGCCCACTAGCATCGATTTTTCGGAGATGACGGTGAAGTAGTCGAGCCAGGAGGCGGCCGTGGAGAGGGGTCGGTAGGTGGAGCGCGGGAGCTCGGTGGGCATCTGGATTGTCGGCTCGCCGGTTTTGAGGAAGTGGTCTATGGCGAACATTTCTGCGCGGGCGATGGAGAAGAGCTTGGCGCAGGCGTGGGTCTCGGGGGTGCTGGAGCAGGATGTGCACGTTGCTGCGATGAAGCAGTTGGGGCAGAGCTTGAGTTTGGTGTCTGGGGCCAGCTGGAGAGGCGTGCGGTAGCAGTTGGAGCAGTACGCCTGGTAACTGTGGTCTTGGGTTAGTCTGGGTCGGGTGAAGGAGTCTAGGAGAGGCGATCATGACGGCTTACAGAAGGATACGCTCGTCGTTAAGGGTGATGGGCTTGACTTGCGCTCCACAGACGCGGAGAGCAGCTACACTTGAGAGCTTGGAAACTTATTAGCATTTGAACGAAGGTTATTATGAATGATGAGTCCTTTTAGATTGATTCGTTGATTGATCCATCCACTTGTTCTTCCTCGTCTTCCTCTTCTTTACATACCACTTGCTGCCTGTACTGTTGCCATGTCTGGGCTTCCACCGGAGGGTAGAAGTCGCTCAACCCAAGGAGCACTTTACACAGCTTCTTATGGCCATCATTCCAGTCCTTCTTCTGGCATTTTTGCGAACAGTATCTGCATCATCGAGAATCAGAATATGGGTTAGCAGATATAGGCTGCCATGACCGACTGACTGACTGACGAACGGACTGACTTACCTGATCCGTTTGCAGCGACTGCATTTGTTCAGCGTAGGCAGTTGTGCAAAGCAAGTGAAGCAGGCGGCTCCCTTGGCCGCCAGGACAGGTCCTGGAAAGAGGATGAGGTCGGTTCCCATGATTATCTTTGGATTCCGAACGCTGTTATTGTGTGTAGAAGAAGATATAAAAGAAGACGTGAAAGACAAAATGTTAAGCAGCTTGTCCAGGGAGAGGCAATCAGGGCTGATGTCGCTTGCCGAGAATTTAGCCTTGAAGTATGCCAACGACATGTACATTGGCGCACGGTGATGTTTTCTTTCTTACAGTCCAGGATTCCATTATATTGGTTTGCCTCAATGTTACTCATAGATCTACTCATTATCTATTCATTCATCCATCCATTCATTAATCCATCCATTCGTCTAGATCACGTGCCTACATGGTTCGCTGTCAACGGTGAATGTCGCACGCTAGCGGTTAGTGGCCAGCAATATGCCCAAGGTGATGTTTAAAATGTTTTCTCTTTTATCCATCAGCCTCACCGCATCGAGGATCAGTCGAACAAATAATTCCCGTACTCAACGGAAACTCAAACGGAAACTCAAACGGAAGTTGAATAGCAGCAAGTGCTGCACCAACGGAGACCTTCATCTCTCGCAGCCTTCAGAAGCAGCCCTCCTCGGGCTTCTCAAACTCCTTGTTTTTCTCTTCCGCGCCCGAGCCTCCTTGATTTCCCCCTATCTCAAGGATCCATTTTGCCGAATTTCCTCGTTGCAAGCACTCTCAATAAACAGAGTCGATGCTCCTTGTATTCTGATACTCCATTAGACAGGAATATGTACGACAGTCTGTCTTCTGGGGTTGGGAGACGCCAGCAGTGAGGTAAGTGTCGACCTGCTTCGGAGACGACCAGATAAGGCTTGCTGATTCCGATGCCCAGAAACAGAATTACCGGCAATATCCATACCTACTCCAATGCTGGGATATTCAGTGCGTGAGGCTACTGTCGAGCAACACAGACTTTCATCTAGTGTTCCAACTTGAACGGTCCCAAAAAGCCATGGTAGAGTTCAGTACCCCGATGCGGCAAGATGCCAGCCCCAAAGGGGTTGATGATCTGTTTGCAGAATCCCATCCAAGGCTTAATGTACCCAGGCTCAATGCGAGAATACCCATCAATAGCCTCCGTCATTCAGAGCACACCTGGCCCTTTGGGCATGCCATTACCCAACCTCTGACCCCCAAATGGCCCATCTAGAGCGCTCCAAGCAGCAGAAACGTGATGCGGCGGCGGCGCAGCAGAGTATTGGGCATATGCCATGTGTGGTGGCACCATCAGCTCCTCCCCTACCTCCCCGATGATCGGCACAGGTTGATATACTCCCTGAAGAGGCACAAAGGTTCCAAATCCTTGCGTAGTAACGACAGGTCCTGCATTTACAAAGCCCTCCGCACCGAAGAAATCCTTCAGATCCCATGGTAGATCGACTGGCTCCTTCTGGAACCAGTTATGTACTCCCTGGTTACCTTGTGCAGGGTTTGCGTGCGGGATAGGCCCGTATTCGACGCCGAATGAGGCATGCTGCTGGTCAATGTACTGCTTGTACTCATCTGATTTTTCCGGCGCATCGGAACCTGCATCGAAGATCCCTACGATCTTGGCGAGTTGGAGGCAGACTCCGGTGAGTATAGTGAATGTTGGACAGAGCTTTACTGGTTGGAGAGCGGTCATGACGTCTCGGACGGCTTGTTTGCGGGACTGATCTTCAGCGGTATCGCGCTCGTCCCAGGGACGCGCAAGAAAGTCGAGGGCGAGGATGAAGACAGAGTGGTAGATATAGTAGGCGTCTACCCAAGCTACGCCATCAAATTGCCCTGTGGCGAGGAGCTGCTGAAGGAGCATAGTTGCCTGTCGAGAAGAGGTTCCGCAAGCGTGAGACAATTTGAGCTCTTCTGCATCGAGGTCTTGGGAGCGAACGTGTCGACCCAACTTGCGAGCTAATTGAACACCAACCTTTCGGAGGATGAAGGGGCGGGTAACGAGGGATTGGATCTGGTAAAAGGTGATATGGAGTAGTATAACTGCGCGCCTATGTTTGGGGACTTGGGGGAGATTTTCAAGACGTAGGGGGGTTGGAAGGCTGTGGCTCCACGAGTCTAAATCCAGGAGGAACTGAACAGCAACGTTCATCTTTGGGGACTTGCCTTGTTGAGTCGCGCTTGAAGGCGAAGAGTAGATTTTCCGCCTCACGTCTGAGAGGAGCTTCATCAGACGAACTGAATGGTCGATGTACCCAGGTGGTACTGAAGCCCCGCCATCAAGCATAAGCTCGTTTGGATAGGTGATATTGACTTCCGTGTCGTCAATTGCGCATGGACGACCAAGAATGGCACACTGGTTTTGTTCAAACATGTAGGCGGTCCACCATACACGTTTTCGGACTTCCCTCTCCATGTCGTCGAAGCCGCCTGATGTGCCTTCCCTGTGCATACCGAGAGCCATAGCCATCCGAGAAGCACATCCGAGAAGCATGAAAGCACTATTCCTTTCTGTAAAATTGTGCTGGTACAGCTGAAGTAAGAGTAAAGCTTGGACATTGACAAGCGTCGAAGTGCTGATCAGAGAATGCATCATGGACTGCACGAGCTGCAGATAGTGCCGTTGAATTTGCATTGATTGCCTCGCATCGCGATCTTCTATAGCCTGTACCCCAAAAACGACCACCATAAAGATGCAGCAGGCCCAGCCTGGATCGTCACGCGTCAAAAGGTGCGGCTGGTTCCACATCTTCTCATATCGGGCTTGGAAAGTTGGTCTGTGGAAAAGAAGATAGTTCGGATGGACAGACTCGAAATAAGCTTCGAGGAATTTGTCGGTCACTTGTTTCCCCGGCAACAGTGAAGACACAGTGATTCTCTTCAAGCGATTCGTCCGATCGCTGTCCACCGAGCTAGGAAAGAGCGAGGGTGCACGTTGTCTGGGCACACTCGAAGATTGAACCCCAAACTGTCTATCCACGTTCCCAGTTTCCTCGGACGACTCATCGCTCTCGTCCTTGACAATCGGTTCCAAGGCCTTGCTCCAATTCGAGCCCGCAAAATCCGCCGAGAGTTTTGACCGCTCGTCGTCGGGTTGGATTGTCCTCAGCGCCGCATTAAACTCGGCTACCATGTTCCGCACGGTCAACACGAATCCAAACGAGCTTGATGGGCCAATATAATGCGAGGGTCCTTGCGGCAGGGGCACCAATCTCTCCTCCAGCACCTTCCCCTTGATGTCTGAATTCTCCGACTCTCGCGATGCCACCGAAGGACTCGTCACATCGCCTGCGCTCTGCGGTGGACTCGGCGCAATCTGTTTCGCGGGCTGGCTAAAGAGCTCTTCAGCAACGGTCCGGTCGTCGAAGGTCGGCAGCCGGATCTCGTGCGCCTCGGCAATGGCATTCAGTGTCTCGATACTGTTCGTATCGCGATCCGGGAAGAGGCCTCTAATCAGGGTGTCAAGCACACGGTAGCGAGCGCTGAGGGTCTCGACGGAGCCGTAGATGCGTGTCTTACGCGGGAGCGTCGACTCGCAGCCGACGCCGACGTCGAGGCATGCCTGGCAGGGCTCATTGGCATCGCTGGCGCTGGATCGCAAACAACGGATCCGTCTCTTCTTGCAGCGATCGCAGGAGACGAGTGCTCGACGGCGCAGGTGATCGGGGATGCGCGCCTTGCCAGTCTTTTTGATCTTGGGGGATTGGTGATCCATGGAGAAGAGGCAAGAAAGAGGGCTGGAGAGAGAGCCGGAGTAGTATGTGTGTATATGTGTGTATATGTGTATATATGTGTATATATATATAAATGTATATGGTAGGGAACAATGAACGATGGTAAAGGAAAAGGAGAGAGGAAGAAAGGAAGAGAGGAAGAGAGGAAGAGAGGAAGAGAGGAAGGAAAAGAAGAAGGAATCAAGCTTTCGCGGGCAAACTTGGGGTGAAATAATGGGGGGGGGAGATTCTGGTGGGGATGCAGATGCAGAGGCCGACGACTACGAGAGCAGCTCTGCAGGAAATACGGAGTAATAGAGTCATTGGGGGTGCGGGGGTCCACTTATTTGGCTTGGCAGAAATCTTGGTAGAGCTTGAGCTGAAGCTTGTATTCATGGCTGCACGTGATATAGACTACGACTCCGACTCCGACTCCGACTACGACTATGACTTCGACTTCGACTATACTCTTCGTTCTTTCCTTTCTCTTTTCTCTTTACTCTTCTCTCTTCTCTCTTCTCTTCTTCCAGGACTCATGTATCTGATATCGTCAAAATGTCTGCCAGTCAATCGACTCGAGACCGAACACTCCGTCCATGACGGTGAACCAGAGAAATCCCACCAGCAGATGGAGGGCCAGGATTGGAATGGAGATGCACATCTACGCCTGGATTCCCATGGTTTACCTCTTGTTCCTCAGCCATCGAGCTTCAAGGATGATCCACTAGTCAGTCTCGAGCTCTCTACCCGTTTTCTTCTACTCGACTTTTACCGCTCTTATCCTTATGCGTGGACAATCAACAATAACAACAACAACAACAACAACAACCCCCCAACCCAACATATATACATATATATACATAAAAAACGCTAAGACTCAACAGAACTGGCCTTCCCGCCTCAAGTGGGCTGTCCTCGTCCAGGTCGGCCTCATGGCCTTCCTCGGGCCCTATAACGCCGCTCTCATCAACCCTTCGCTTGTCCTTCTCGCAGACGGCATGAACGTCACACCTAAAGTTGCTGCCTACAGCACCACGACCGGAATCATCGTCGGTGGTCTCTCGCCCTTCATATGGACCCCTCTGACCAATTACTACGGCCGTCGCCCCGTCACCCTCCTCGCCATCTTGATCACTGTTATGGGAGGCATCGGCTCAGGTGCCTCGCCTAATTTCTCCGCACTGCTTGGAACCCGAGCCCTGTGTGGGTTTGGCTTCGGAGGCATGATGAGTGTGGGAACCGCCTGTGTGAACGACATGTTCTTCTTGCATGAACGTGGCGAGAAGACGGGTGTTTATTCCATCTTTGTGACGAACGGTGCGCATGTGGCTGCCTTGAGTATGTTTGATTCTCTTCGTCCTTTCTCCCCGGTTTTCCCATTTCATAAATGATTCACCTTCACAGTCGGCGGCTTCCTCGGTGGTGCAGCGGGTTGGCAATGGGACTTCTATCTCGGCGCCATCAGCACCTCTCTCTGCCTCCTCGTCGCTCTCTTCTGCTTCCCCGAAACCCTCTTCTCGCACGACCCGACCTTCCTCGCCAATCGCACCGAACGCACGTACATGCAGATGCTCTTCTCCTTCCGCGGCAACATGATCCCCGGGCACCACCTCCGCGTCTCGGACTTCCTGCAGTCGCCGTCCATGCTCAGGTACCCGTCCATCCTCCTCCCCTTCTGGTACTACACCTGGTCCTGGACCTTCATCAACGTCATGCCAGCCATCTCGCTCGCGAACATCTACACGCACTTCTACGGCCTCGGGCCGGGCCCTATCGGCGCCTGCCTCGGCGTCTCCCTCATCATCGGCTCCGTGCTCGGCGAGTGCTTCGCCGGCCGCGCCTCCGACTATCTGGTGCTGCAGCAGGCCGGCCGCCACCAGAACGTCCGCAAGCCCGAGTACCGGCTCTACCTGTGCACGCTGTCGGCCGTCTTCATGCCGGTGGGGCTCATCCTCTTCGGCGCCACGGTCGGCAAGTACAGCTTCTACGTCCCGCTCGTCGGCCTCGGCCTCGGCGTCTTCGGCCTGCAGATCGCCTCGACGACCCTCTACGCCTACACGTCCGACTGCTACAAGCCGCAGACCCCCGAGTCCGGTACCGTGTTCAACCTGTCCCGCGGCCTGTCGTTCGTCGTGGGCTACTTCGCGCTGCCGTTCGCGCAGGAGGTTGGCTACTTCTGGGCCTGGTTCACCTTCGCTGCCGCCCTGTTCTGCTCCTTCCTGCCCATCGTCGCGCTGATGGTCTGGGGCGAGAAGTGGCGCAAGGTGCTCGGCGCGCCGACGTGGAATCGGGATTTGTGAATTGCGGCTTTCATTTGTTAACTACAGCGTTGGAGCGTGTTGTGCGGAACTGGCATGCCTCAGGTTCCAAGCTACAGATGAGCCTCGCCCATTAGCGCCCTTGGCGCACTGGAGCTCTGAGGTATACAATTCCTCATCTTGATGAGCTTCCTAGATAGAAAATTACTAAGCTTCATGCAATCATCGGAATCTCCTCCTAACCTTAGTGCTCCATCAGCACTATAGAGCGTTTTCAGGTATTTGGTCAGTACCTAATCTTCGGCTACCTTGAGTATTCCCGAAAAAAAATAAACACCGCTTAATCTAATTAATCCTCGGCTATCTCGATACAGACGCCGAGCATACTAATGGACTTGGGATACCGCCCTATTTGTACGATTTTTGATTACTTTAATTTAGCATTGCGATGCAACAATCTACCAACGATTGAAATTATCTTGACTGGCAGGCTACCGCTTGACAGAAAGACAGACAAATGAAATAAAAACAGAGAGATAGATAGGTAGCGAGCGTCCTTTTCCTTCTTCCCCTTTCTCTGTTCAGCAAAGCGAAGCACTCCTCGCAGCCCATGGAAAAGTAGGTATTAGAGTAGACGAAAATGATCTATCGGCGCCTGGGTTTGCCAAGGGGTAAGCAAAGGAAAGAGAGAAAAGGATGAGGAGGGTATTATATTAATCCATCCAAGCGCAGTACTACCTAGGCTGGGAAAGAAGAGGGGATATGACGATGCAAAGTACTAACACAAGAGGCGTCGTGATAACATAATCACACTTTCATCAGATAGAGAGGATCATCACGGGCAGTAGCTTGTACTTTGTCACTTGCGCATTCATTTAATGCTTGCTTGCTACCTCTGCTTCTCCTCTCTTCTCTCCTTCCTCTCTATCACGTGCCTTGCTTGCCTCTAGCTTCTGGCCCAGCCGCAGACCTTTTCGTAAAGGTGCCTACTGATCTAACTGAGACTGCGGAACGGCATACAATCCTCTCTTTCTCTCCAGCCAGAAGTATCTTTTATCTACCCGTCATTGTATACATATCTTCCCTTGCCCATCCATCCAGCTATCAGTACCTAGCTAGAGCATGCCCTCACGCCAAATTCAGAAAGCAAGCCCATGCAGTCCAGCCCAATCCTATCCACACCACACTAACAAAATGAGAAAGAAAAATCGGTAGTATTCTCTCCAGAGTCGAAATTTGACAAAGGAAAGAAAACTCTCAAAAGAAAGTAACAGCAGTTGTAGGATCGCTCCGCTTTATGCCGTTCATATGATCGCTTAATCGCAGCAAATAAAAAGAATCTGTTGAAAACGCCTTGGTTGTCCGTGAAATGAATGCCGCCTAACGCCATTTGCTGAAAGATTTTCGTTGTTGGTTTTCAGAGTCGAAATAATTCCTTTAATACCAGAATGCCGAAGTCAAAAGGAGAATTCAGTCAGCAGCTAGTCGGGCGAAATGCTTGCTCCAGATCCAGCCGACTTGGTCATCAGGGTCATCTTGGTTCTTGGCTAGCCAGAGCTCCCCCTTTTCACCAATCACATCGAAGATCTGGAAGGTGTTAGTCCAGATTCGAAACAGGTCTGGGTATAGATAAGAGAAGTCAAGCTCAGATATGTGAGGAAAAGTGTCCAAACTATATTGAATGGATAAACATACCTCGCCAGCTTGATATGTCAAGTACGGGTACCCAGCCTCTGACTTGGTGGCACTGATATTGAATTCGAACAAACTGGCAGCAAGGTACAACACGTTATAACCGCCTGATATGTTGCGATCACGCGAGGAGGCTCGGGACGATCGCTGGCTATCTTCAGGACCATCAGGCAGCGGCATCGCTGAGTGGAATACTCCAGAGAACGGTCTGGTGGATGGGGGCGGGCCATCAGTATAGTGCGAGTTGTACGTTGATCCCGATTCACGGCGGTATTGGCTATTGTAGTCGTGGCTTTGACGCATTCCTGGGGTATCAGAAGTATGGCTTCGACTCGTACTTGGCCTACCGGGATTGTAGTAGTATCGTGAGCTGGAGGATGCGTCTGGTGTAACGGGAGATCCAGATCTTGGTCGAGAGTTCCCAGAAACGGAATGTGAATGGGGCAGGGGTGGTGGAAGGCCTGGACTGTTCGCCGTGAGGGGGGAGAAGAATGGGCCACTTTGCCTATTTCCGAAATCTGGAGTAGGTAGACTGGGTGATTTTTCGCTGTTGAGTGAGACTCCACGCGAACGGCTTGAAATGTTTGATGGTCTGCCCTTTCGTACAGACTCGTCATCCTGAGTTGACTGAGATGGCCGGGATGACATGCCGTGGCCAAAGGTTCCATTGATGACGGAGAATTCCTGCATTTTGGCTTCCGAGTACTTGAAGTCACGGTGGAACATGTCAGTGATACCTTGAATACTAGTCGCCATCTGACCCTGCTCCAAGTTCTGGCCAAGCTTTTCCTTCCACATCTCCCACCAGTCTGATTGTATATACAGCAGCCGAGTAGAGAAAATCTGCCCAATAGTATTGGTCAAACTCGCCAGCTTGGGGAGCTCGAGCTTCAGCGTCTCGTTCAGAGCCTCATATTGTGCGACAAGTTCTACCAACTTTTCATCGATCTTCTTTCCCGAAGACTTCAGAGTCAGAGACTTTTCGTAATCAAGACGGCGCTTGTTGCGTTTCTTCATGGCGAGTCCAGGCGGTCCGTACAGGGCAATTATCTTCTCTACGGGTTCGATGACTTGCGTCCGGACAGCTGCCACGTGATCATCCAGCCCGACACTACCAATGGCTCTCATGGACATGTTGAAGCGCACCCATTTGCTCTCAATCTCGGGAATCGAGCTTGGAAACATGCGCATAAATAGTTCCATAGCCGAAAACAGTCGCAGGTTATTGTTGACGTAGTTTGTCGCCTCTCGGGTCTGATACTCGGCATCTCGAAGAATGACCTGAAGTCTCAAGTAATCGTCTCCGAACTTGTCGTGTAGCTTGAGATAAACCTCGTCGTCAGGTGGACGGTTCGGATTTGCGGCAAGCTTCTCCGAGCGTCTCCCAAAGGCCTTGGCGATACCAGTCCGAACATCAGACTCCTTGCGTTTTCGACCAACAATCTCTCCGACCTTGGCGAGACGCTTCTTGAGATCATCAATATCCTGCAGTAGTTGTCCCATCTCTTGTGCCGCAGTTTGAAGGGCAGCATAATCGGGATGATCCAGTGGGGTGAGCGACTTGAATGTAGCCAGGAATAACTGGTACCGAGTGATGCGTTGAACCGGCTTGACAAGTAGAGCGTTGAGATCCCATGCACCAGTGAGATCCTTGGCCACAGAATTGCATTCGCCTAACCAGACTTTGACAGCACCATCGCTTTGAAGGACCGTCAAGCGAGCGTTGGCAGCTTCACTGTTCTTGAGAAAATCTGTGTATACGGTCCGCATTCGCGCCAAATTCTTGTTGAACTGCGATCCGATGAACGTCTTTCGATCTTTCTGCTCGTCAGTCTCCTCGTTCGATTTGGTTGCAACGGAGCATCCCTCAACGGAAGCCGAAGCCTCTGTTGCCTTGCTCCTCGACTTCTTTCGTGGAGAGTAGATACTGGATGCCGCGGACTTTAATTCGTCCAGAAAATGAGTCGAGAAATCCACTACCTCGTTAGAGTTCCGGAAGATCGTCTTGATATCACCAGGATCAAGTTTAGGGCATGCCTCTGCAGTACCCTTGTAGATCTCCTCGACCACATTCATATCTTTGATGTAGACTGCTTCAGTATCAATCAGCTCCTTGATACCCATCATTCGCTTGAATAGGCGTTTCCGAGTCGCCTCCTGTGCCTGCTTCTCTTCTTCCGTCATGATCGCATCAGGTTGGATTCTGGCCTTGGAATCGTTGTTAGCATCAGTCGCATCAGGTTGGAGTTTGGCCTTGGAATCGTTGTTAGCATCATCACAGAAGATCTGAGAGCTAGACCGAGGTGTTGATATCGAAGGACGAGGAGAATAAAGATCACCGCTTGCTCGCCTCGAGTCCGGAATTGGGTTGCCATTTGCACTGGATTGGTACGGACTGGAGGGTGGCCTGCGGTTGTAAAAACTCGGAGGAGGAGGTGAACGGGAAGCGTCTACTGGTTCTTCGGGTGGTGGTGGAGGAGAGTGTTCAGGCCAGTGGGGAGTAGACGAGCCAATGTTGAAAGATGGTGATGCGCTAGCAAACCCTAGTCCTAACCCGTCTCCTGTCGAGATGGGAGGAAGTTGATGCCGGGGAGGGCTCGAAAGCATTAATGTTTTCGTCGGAAGCCGTGGTGACGGAAGTGGGCTGCACCCATCCGTGGTTGGCGGGCTGTCAGGAGACACCTCACACGTCTTGGGAGGTGGAAGCGGTTTCTGCTCTGTCTCTGATGTAGCAGGGTAAGGATATTCCTCTCTCTCAGAGAACTCTTCTACAGTCTCAACGGAATAATCGGTCCTCCAGGACTGATGGTTCGAGTCGGAGGTTCGCGGCCACGTCTGTCCATCTCGGCTCTCGAATGTGTGCTCATTAGTTTCAATTTCAGCAGAACTGGTGTGTTCTCCTCCGTCTGAGCTTTCGCACTCCATGTCGGTGGTAGGAGTGCTGGGAAAGTCCTGACCATTTTCGCTTGGAGTAACCGAGGCAGTATGGAGGCTTGGAAATTCGACCTTAAGGGAATCAACTGGCTCTTCATTGTATGCAATCTCGGGACTTTGAGCGTATGCTCTAGGATTCATAGCCTCATCTGGCATATCGTGAACTTCATCCTCCGCCTCGAAGTGATTTCCACCAGACGCGAAGGGAGAGATGGCGCGAAGTTCAGCTGGCGTCTCCGTTCGAGGACTTGCAGCGGTAATGGTAGAGTTGAACACGGGTTGGTCATCCGCACGGAACACAACTGCGGGTGCGGGTTCTCGGGTAAATCCTTCATTAGTAGGAGTGGACTCGAGCTGCTGTGACTTCTTTACCTGAGTCGCATCAAGCATGATTTGGATGGTATCCTGATCTACCTCCGATCCGAGACCCTGCATTCCGTAATAGGCTTGCTCGGGACTAAGCATATCGCCGAAAAAATCCGAGTGACTAGAGAGTCCACTGGGCCTCGACGGCATCCGGCTCAGGCGCGCAGCTTCGGTTTGTGGCTCATTGTCAATATCCGTGACGCCAGTTGCATTGGAAATAGCAGATGGAGGAGGGACGTCCTCGCCGTCAGCAGAGGTGCCCGGCATCCCAAGGGTTGGGGAATCTTCACCCAACGCCACATTTTGCTGCACAGGTTCTGGTCTTTGAAAGGACGTATTGATATGCAAAGGAAGTAGGGACGTATTGGCCTGCACAGGAGACGATCTAGCCTCCACCACAGCTTCTTCAGGAGGTGCCTGTGTGGGAGATGGCAAGTCCTTCTCGATATCTTGCGGCGCTTGCGACGTTAATGATGCCTCCACTGCCCGCCGTTCACTCAATCTTCGTAGGTTTTCCAATCGAATCTGCTTCTGCTCACTCTCGTGAATCGACTTTGTGTATGCCCTGCGTATCAACTCCCTCTTCGCCACGAAGTCCTCCTTACTCATAGGCACCTCCGGCGTGGCCCGATTCTTCAAGTCGATCGCGTCTGCGTGGTTGCGTATAATTTTCATGCCAGATCTGACGTGGCGTGGGGAGCCAGACCCATCGGCGGCCTTGCGTCGTGGACTGACGGTCGATGCCGAGGAGATAGGTAGTCGAGGCCGTGAGCTTCGAAGAGGTGGAGAGGTCTTGGGTAGAGGGGCTGAGATGTAAGCCTGGAGACTGGCATTGTTTGAGACGGGCTGGTCCGGATTCCTGACTTTTCGCCGAGGTGACGAACGAGGGGTCTTTCCCCTAGTTACTGGTGTCATGAGCCGGCCGGCAGGGCTCCAAGATCTCTGCTCTGATTTTCGAAGCTCTCCGTTCGATGATGTCCCTTTTGGAGACTTCGTGCTCGGGGAGGGCAAGCTTGACGAATCGGACGAGATGCTCAGCCTCTTTGAGGGCATCGGCAAGCGAGATTGGGGTGGCTGTACAGCTGTTGTACTAGGGGGCTGCGTCGGCAGCGGCAGGGGGGGCTTGGGGTTATGAAACGATAGAGTGACGCCATTCATCGTATTCACTTTGAAATCCTGGAAATCGCTATGATTCCTGTTGTGCCCCAGGGAGGAACGTGGATTGTTTGTATCCACATCCTCAAGTGTAGGCGTTACACCAAGGTACCAGGCGGTGGGAGAGGAGGGGGAGACATCGAAGTCTGATTTGTTCCGCCCATGAGATGGCCGGGAAGGATGCAGACTGGACTCGGAAGTTCTGCGCGCTGCGGTTCGAGAAATGCCATAGGCTATGTTGGGTGTTCCCTGCTCTACATGCAGAACCTCACCAAACAACGGTTTTCTTGTTGGAGCAGCCGCAATGTTGGGAGAGGTCGGCGATAGATTGGTCAGGGACTTTGAAGCTTGCGAGTTCGAGCCCGCAGCGGTATTCCGGGCCTTTCGAGGAATGGCTGCTTGGGCGTTTGTCGAGTGCTGGTCCTCTGGAGCAAATCGAGCCCTCTGATTCTTGATTGGGGATTTTCTTCCCGGCTCTCTCGTGACCGATCCAGGTGCTCGCGACGCCGCAATTTGAGCAGTAGCCCTTACCTGGTATCCACGCTCCCTTAAATACCCAGCACCACTGCGATCCTTCGAAGCCGGCCGCGGAGCTGCCTTGCGACCAGTCGATCCAGCTTGGTCGTTGTTCTGGTCAAATCGTTTCAATAAGTCCTTGACACTCGGTTTCCCGGCATTTGGAATTCCATTCACAGCAGATGGGGCCATTGCGTTGCCGAGACTTCTGTCGTCCAGAGGGGATGATGCTGACCGATACGATGGCTTCAGAAAGGTACGTGCTTGCGGTAGCGACGGATGCTTTGGCGTTGTCCCATGTCCATTCGATCTTAGAGATGACTGAGGAGACGGCCTTGATTCACACGGAGAAGAAACTGGAGCTGCCATCTCGGGAGCCGTGGTCTTCAGGCCGTTTGTAGGCACCCCGCGATATTCCCTGTAGAAATCATCCGGGTCACCTCCATTTAATCTGGGCTGCACGTAGGCATTCGTAGCCGCGGCTTGTAGGTTCTGAGTGGTAAGGAAGGGTAGATTCGGGGACAGATGTGGCGATCGTGCGTCGAATTGGGGTAGAGGGAGCGGGTTGTAGATTCGGGGATGCTGGGAGTGATGGTGAAGTTCGGGGGGAGGAGAGAGGCGCCTAGAGTAGAAGTTCTGGTCGCTGTTGATACCGCTTTCCATTGTGACTATCCATCGATCTGGTCAGGCCTGGGCGGGTCGGGCCAAGGGTGGGCAAGACGGTTCGTCGTCGGTACACTAAAGTAGGTAGATAGCTAGGTGTTCTGCAGAGCACGAGCAACGATTGCAGGCAAGACAGGCACAGCGAAATACGGTACAGTACTATTGGTACTGGACGGCAGCTGAGGGCGTAGCGTAGGTAGGTATTTCGATGCTCGATTCTCAGTATGGAGTCTGGGCCTGAGAGAGATCCTCACTGCATACTTGTTAGCCCGACGTTGAGAGGTTGCATACACGAGGCCCCCGCCGTCACAGATCGAATCGATCAATCACCAGTTATCGATTGTTGAGAAGGCTGACCGAAACATAACATAGGCAAGCCCAACGCATCATTTTCGCTGACACAATCCGCGAATCACCGGGGAGCCGGGGAGGGACACCAACCTGATACTATAGTAGGCGGCGGTTGTTGCTATGGTGAGGATGATGGATTCTTCCCTCTCAGCTCCGCTGGCGGTCTACTCTGGACGTCGTACGTAGTTCAGAGAGATGTCTTGGGTCGTGATTGATGGGTCGTCGGTGTTGAGGTAAATCCGACGGAAGGTTTTGGTGAGGTGGGTGTAAGGTGAGAGGTGATAGGTGTGAGACTAATAAGGCTGCTACCTCATCACTCAGGTGCTCGGTCATTAGTAAGTGGGCGGGTGTGGCCGAAGCAGATGCACGGACGCGTTGTTAGTGAGTCCGTAGTTTTGCAGCTAGCTCCCTTTCTCTTTTGAGCGAAAGTTATTTTAATGATGCACCGGGTGGTATACGTAGTAATAAATAGTAGGTACTGTAGGTAAGAAGTACCGGTAGGCAGGTAGGTACTGCGTAGGCATCCGAACAAGGGTTGTTAAGGATTAAAGCCTAGTAAGTACAACGGTAGGTCCAGGAATAAAAGACTTTTTAGACTTTAGATAGTTTTAGACTTTAGATAGTTTCCAGCAAAAGCGAACCTTTTCAACACAAATTTTTAATTCATCCCTTCGCCGCCCATGACGCCCATGACGCCCATGACGCCCATGAAGTAAGGGGAAAGCGAAAGGGGATCTTTGGTTGACAGACGGTGCCAAGACTTGTTCGGCTGGGATACACTTGGTGGTAGAGGATCGGATGGGATGGGATGGGAAGAGAAGGTGAGAGAAGAGAAGGGAAGGGAAGGGATGGAAAGGAAACGGATGGGAACGATCAGTGTGGATGATGTGGGATGTTGAGAGATACGGAGATTCCGTCGATGTGTTGGATATGTGTCTCGGTATTGCGGAGTGGAAGTTCCGTCTGCTATTTGTGTCTTAGACGACCCTACGATAAGAGTTTCCGTTTGCTCTTTTCTCTCCCCAGACCCTGGTGAAGATGAATAAATACTTCTGTACGTACTAGTACGTACTACGTCTCAGGCGTAAGTATTACCCCTTGAGGGTAGGGTCATCAGGGGGTTTAGAGTGGAAACTAAACGTTTGAGGCACCCTCAAGGGGTAATAATTAGGCCTGTACCGTGGGTACATGGGGATTGATGATGCATCGACTACCGAGATATCTACTACGTACGACTACTTACCTTATTACCTACCTACCTTAGACGAGACAGCCAGACAAGCGCGGAGGAGGGTCTACCTAGGCGTACCGAGTTATTGTAAACAAAGAGAAAAATCGTGACTAATCTCTCTTCTTTTCTTCAAACGAGATTGGCCGTATCAGTAGGTACGGTAGGTATATGGATAGGTATAGATAGATATATATATCAGTACGTATATATATGTATCTATTTATCTATACATATATATACCTACCTACTATCAGCTCGCGTCAGCCAGCTTAGGTAGGTATAGGTATACCGATATCAGCATCATCGATTTTCCGGGTCCTTGCGCCATCCATCCAGCACGTTACTGCGCGTTATGGCTCGCTTCGGGAAGCAGAAGTCCAGAGTTCAGCCTCGCCAACGGCCACGCCCCAGCCGAGACAATCAACCCAATACAAATTAAATCCAATCGATTCGGATCCCGCCGGGCCTCCGCATCAGCATCCGCATCCGCATCCGCATCTGTCCGTCCCCGACGCCTCACTTCTCGACTCCGTTCGTTCATTTCCCGCGTTTGTACCACCAGCCCAATGTGATGAAGCCAGAGCCTGTCACCCTCTAGGAACTTCTGACGGCGTATCCTGCGTGCGTGCGTGCATGCGTGCGTGCGTATATGCAGGTGTCGTGTCGTACAGATCGTCCATCCGATTCCCAACTTCTAACTTCTAACTTCCAGCTTCCAGCTTCCATCCCATATGGCCGCTAGGCGAAAGAGAAAGAGGCCAGCCCGGGACCATGGGGACCATCATAGGGACCAGAAGCGCCAAAAGGGTATGGCCAGCAGCTCCCATGGCGTGGATCCAGTCGTCAGGCATGCCCTGCTGGCCAAGTACTACCCTCGGGTCCTGACTCTGCGGGAGTACCTGGTCTCGCAATTGCCGTCAAGCTCCAAGATTCGGAAAAAGAAGATCCTCCATGTGGGACGGAATGCGGAGGACAAGGAAACAGATCAGAAGCTCTCCCAATTTCTTGACCAGACGCTGGTAGGTGTCTCGAGGTTCAAGGAAGCACCATCGGAGGAGAGACGAAAGCAATGGTCGGCTTTTTCGCAGCGGCCAGACGAGTCGGTATCGCTGGTAAATCTAAGCGGCGCTGGCGCCTTTTCACAAACCGAGGTACGCTGCTTGTTGACATTTCATGGTTTGCTGTTTGCGGTGCCCTCCACGTCGGCATCAGACAGACGAGACGAGACGAGACGACACTGATCGCGTTTAGGTTGTGGATTTCGCTATCTGGTTGATCTTCACAAAGACCACTGCAACATATGGAAAAGTACCGCATCTGCTCTGTCAAGGCTTCAAGAAGGATGCGCCTCGTCGGCTCATCAATCAAGGAGAGAGTGCCGCCTCAGCCATTCCAGGTCTTGTCTCAATCTACCCGAACAGTCATGTGACGGCTATGAAGGCCCGACCGTGGCCGCAGATTCTAAATCTCATGGGCAAGGAAGGGGAGGGGTCTATGATCGACTTGATTCTGGATTGTGGCGTCTTCCTCGCGGTCGAGCGTGGACGTGGGACATATCATCAGTTGAGTGGTAAGTTACCCTGAGCCCGAGATGAAGCACATCTAACGAAGACAGGCATACCACTTGGTGACCTTCCACTCCTTGAGGCAAACCCTCCAAAGGTACCAAAAACACCCAAAATTCCGACTAGTACTCGGCATACTCCTGCAAGTATCAACTTCGTCCGTCATCGGATGATGTATGCGAGGCCCGCATTGAATGCCAAACTCGAAGTGAAATTTGGGCTTCGACACATTCGTAGGTTGCCTCACACTGAATCATGCCTGTATTTACACATCTAGATGTCCTGAACCGATACCCACTACTCAAGAAGGCCGTCGCTGAACCGGGAACCACGGCGGTGGATTTGACTACTATCCAAGTGATGATGTATATCTTCCCTCGACAGTTCGGCCTACATAACGTCTTTACAGAGAATGTCGATCCACTCCAAACAATGCAGCCTTTCAAAGACTACACCCTTCGCGAAGATGAGATCAACACGGTCTACCACGCCCAAGCACCCAAAATTCCGAGGAGGTTGCGTGGCAAAGCAGCACGGTTGGTTCGAAAGCTTCAGATGCAACACAGCCGATGCCCATACAAGGCATTGCTTGAGTATTACTGTCCAGTAAGTTTGATGTCTTCATCAAGACTTGGCTGACTCTCAGGTCTTCGAATCGTCCCCTCGATTGCCGATCCCAGGCCCAACTCCAGAACCATCACTCGAGTTGAAAACACAGATGTCTGTCGCCACGGAGGAGACGACTCGGGCCTCCTTTCCCCCCATGAGTCTGGTCGCAGTGCCCCCGAAACCTTCTATGATGAATCACGCCACACCAACCGCTATGGTATCTGCGTTCTGCCGCGCAGTTCTCTCGCACTTGATTCCATCTGATTTTTGGGGCACTGGGGACGACAGAGTGCATAACGAGCGGCTCTTTTATAAGAACATTGACCGCTTCATCGAGCTTCGCAGATTCGAAACTCTGTCACTGCACGAAGTAACGCAAGGACTGAAAGTAAGTCTCACTTGCACCGAATCTTACACCGTCTAACGAGCAAGATCGCGAACATAGCATGGCTTGCACCGCCAACCGCCACGGGCAAAGCATCCCTATCCGACACCTCCAAGCGCTGGGAGCTCCTGCGCGAATTCATTTACTACGTTTTCGACTCGATACTGATCCCACTCGTCCGCTCCAACTTCCACGTGACAGAATCCAATATCCATCGCTACCGCCTCTTCTACTTCCGCCACGATGTCTGGCGCTCCCTCACCGAACCAGCTCTGGCTTCCCTGAAAGCCACCATGTTTGAAGAGGTCAAACTTGACAAAGCCCAAGAAATTCTGAACTCGCGAAGCCTAGGATTTAGTCATGTCCGCTTGCTACCCAAAGAAGCGGGCGTTCGTCCAATCATGAATCTACGCCGTCGAGCTCTCAAGACGAGTTCGAAGACTGTGCTCGGTATGAGCATCAACTCGGTTTTAGCACCTGCCTATAATGTTCTGACCTACGAAAAAGTACTCTCCCCTTGTTCCACTTCAACCCCATGAGCTAAACATCGCCCGCAGAACTCGAATCCCGCACTCCTAGGCTCAACCCTGTTCTCCGTCGGCGATCTTTACACCAGACTCAAAGCCTTCAAATCCACCCTGCCCCCGCAAACCCCCTTATACTTCGCCAAACTCGATGTAACGGCAGCCTTCGACACCATCCCGCAACGTGCAATTCTCGATCTGCTCTCCATGCTCCCATCCGAGGCCAGCTATCGCATCTCCAAGCACTGCGAGCTCAAGCCCGGGGAGTCTCACCTCACAGACCACACAGCCAAACCTACCAAGAAGTGGGTTTCTCTCGCATACGCACCCGATGACTTCGACACGTTCGCTGAGCATCTCGCCCATGAGGATGGATTGGCGCAAGGGAAAAAGAATGCAGTCTTTGTGGAAAGCGTCGTCGGCTACTTCCGCGACAAGGAAGAGATTCTAGAATTGCTGAAGGAGCACGTCCTCCGCAACATGGTCAAGATTGGGAAGAAATTCTATCGCCAGAAGGAGGGCATTCCGCAAGGTTCGGTAGTGTCGAGTCTACTTTGCAATTACTTCTACGCCGACCTCGAGGCTACACATCTCGGATTCCTCAACAGCGGATCTGGAGGCTCTGGATCTCATTCGCTCCTGCTGCGACTCATCGACGACTTCCTCCTCATCACCAGCAACCGCGCGCACGCCAAGCGCTTCCTAGAAGTGATGCACGCCGGCGTCCCAGACTACGGCGTCAAGGTCCACCCGGATAAAACGCTCGTCAACTTCGAGGTCTGCATTGCTGGCAAGAAGGTTCCGCGTCTAGTCGGCGGCAGCGGGGACGGTGATGGGGGGCAGGGCTTCCCGTATTGCGGCAACCTCGTGGATATGCAGACGCTGAATGTGAGAAGGGACCGCGAGAGGAGGGGGGCCACGGCGGTCGTGGATTCGCTCACGGTGGAGTTCTCGCGGATGCCGGGGAAGGCGTTCCAGAAAAAGGTTTTGAGTGAGTTCGTTCGCTTCATTCTTTTATTCTTATCTTGTCCTTCCATTTTCTTGTTCTTATTCGCCTCGTTCATTTTCTCCAACTTGGCGTTGATCTGCGGCTTTGTAAAACTTGCCAAGAAAGGTTAAGAGAACCCGAGCTCGATTCTTCCCATCGCTCCATGTCCCCCAAGCTAAGCTCGTCTGTCACATAGGACCATGGACTGAGGAGAATGGGGCATCCCGTTCGCTCTGCCATCCACACGCCTCAGATGGGCGGATGAGTAGTTGGGTGGGTGAGCACCAGCGAATACCCGCTGGTTATGTTTTGTTTTTGTTCTACTCGTCGCCTCATTCCCGCAAGGCCGGAAAGGCCCGAAAGGCATCATGACTGGTAGATCTGAATTTCCCTTTGGCATTCCGTCTTCTTCCTCCAGCTTGTGTCTGTCTACAAAGCCGCGCTCTTCCCCCCACCCCCAAAGCACCCGTCACCACCCCCCTTTGAGATCTCGTCCCGCACGAATGCCATTCCCATACCGAAGCAGAAGAGCTCCACTGACGAGTCAACCCACCTCGCCCAAGACACCTTCAAGATCCAGTGCCACGCCATGTACCTCGACACCTCCTTCAATGCTCTCCCGACGGTGCAGTCGAACCTCTCGCTCGCCTTCACCGAGACGGCGACCAAGATGTGGACCTATGCGCGCAGCCTGCCCAGCCACAAACGACCCGGGCCTCCGCTCGTCATCCAGACGATCCAGAGGCTGGTGGCGATGGCGTCTGTGCTGGTACAGGGTAAAGGCCCGGGCAGGAAGAGAGGGGATGAGGGGTACCGGTGTGCGGTGAGTCCAGCGCAGCTGGAGATGTTGGCTGTGTGCGCGTTTCGGGAGGTGCTGGGCAAGAGGCAGAGTCGGTATGGGGAGGTTATTGGGTGGTTGGATGGGAGGATTGGGCTTGGGCAGGCAGGTGAGCGTGGCCGCACGAGGGCGAGGGTGGTGCATGCCGTTGCGGTGGGTAGATGAGATGCTCGCTCCCTGGTGTTAGGATGAAGTTATGATACCCGTGATTGCTTGCTTGCTTTGCTCCCGTGCTTCGTTTCATCACGTGACTTGCACGTGCGTCTCTGATCTGGAATCCGAGGCAACAGAAGCCGCGAGATGCGCATGGTTGTGTGTTTCTCGTATCCAATGCGAGTGACTTATGGTAATCGGAGGTAAGTTTGGTTGCTGTTGGGATGTGAAGTTGTTGGTTGTGGTTGTGCTGCTGGGTGCTGGGTGCTGGGAGCTGGTTGTCCCTCTACCGGTAGTCCCTCACGGCCCTTCCAGTCCCTCCAGTCCCTCCAGTCCCTGAGTCTCAAATGCCGAGTGCCGACCCGACATCCCGACATCCCGATGCTCCGATCACGATCCCCATGGCCCATGATGGCCCAAGGGCCAAGGCGCAAGGCCCAGGGCCAACCGCCCAGACCGCCATCCGGACAAGGAGAGAAGCCGCGAGTCGAGACTCGAGCCAGTCCAGAAACGGGATGATCCCGCTGCACTCCTGAAGCGGCCAAGATGCAGCATTTCCCTTTCCCACGAATGAAGGGCAAGCATTCGGTCGGTCGTTCAATCTCTCTCAACTCTACCACCGACCACACTCTGTTGATCACTTCTTCCCTCTCTCTCCCATCCCCCATCCCCCCAACTACTATTACTAGTACTACTACTACTTCTACTACGAGTACGACTACTACTACCACTACTTCTACTACTACTACTTCTTCTACTCCTACTTCTACTACTTCCCCTACTTCTACTACTGTCACTACTCCTACTATCATATCCTCTCTCTCTCCGACAACGACGACAACGACCACAACGACCAACAATCCACGACAACCACCACCACAACCACCACCACCACCACCACCACAGCTTCTGCAGCTTCCACCATCATTCGCATTACCACGACTAATCGCAGTAGTAATTCCCTACCCACCGACCGACCGACGGACTGACCGACCGACTTTATCCTTCTCGACAATCCCTACTACCGTCGTTACAATCTGTTGCTATTCTTAGGCTCTCCTCCCATCTCGTCTCGTCCCACGTCTCGTCTTGTCTCGTCTCGTCTCTGCTCATCCGTGCCATCCTGCTCAATTCGCAATCCCAACCACCCCCCCATCTCTTCTACCGTCGTCCGATCAATCGTCTCATCAATACTTCCAGACTCGTGAAACCCGCCATCGCCATTTTCCCCCCCCCAGGCCTTGCCCTCGAAGCCACACCGGCCCTTCCGACCACCCCGCCAAGATTACTACTCTACAAAGAGCCCTCGTCTGCCACCCAACCCCCCTCGCCGAAGATGCAATGACCTTTCCCAACTATGCCGCCAGCTTCGTGTCTCCTGTCGCTATTCCGGGCTCGTCGCCCGAACTATCGGGCCCCAAGTCCTCCAAGTCCTCCAAGTCTTCCAAATCCTCCAAATCGTCCTCCTTCCACTCCTCCTACCAATCCGATAACAGCATCCTGTCCGACGTGGGCAACTTCGAAGAGATAGGCCTGGACGACGAGTCCAGGTCCGAGGCGGGGATAGGCACCTTCGAAGTCAAGACGACGAGCAATCCCTACGATGCCTCCCTCCCATCCGATCGGCGGAAGCCTTCGAATGCGAGTGCGACAAGACGGAGCCCGATGCCTGCGACAACCGGAACCCGAGCCCAGCGCGAGCTGACGGCCGGGAAGACACACCCGCACTTCCCGAGCCTGCGTGGCCAGGTCCACAGCGCGACCGTCGGCCTGGGCTTGCTGCCGATGCAGAACGGGGCGCGCATGGGGCTGCCGAGTCCCAGCGTGGGGCCCCTGCCGATGATGAAGCGGAATCGCAGCTCGAGCCCGGGTATGGCGCGGATCCCGAGCCTGAGTCTGTCCATGAAGCACCGCCGGGCCAGCTCTCAGGCGAATCGCGAGAGGAAGACGGCGGAGCAGTTGGAGATGGAATGTGACGAGGATGATGGGGACGACGTGCCCGATGAATGCTTTCTGGAGAATGTGCCCATGTCGCCGCGGCCGAAGTTGGAGAGGATCAAGAGTACGCCGCCGTCGGCTGCCACGAGTCCGGAGAGGTCGCCCAGGTCTGGTGGGAAGGAGAGGGTCAAGAGTGTTGGCAATGGCACATCGCCGAGGCCGGCGGAGCAAGGGGAACTGAGGTCCCCGAAACGGCAGGCTCATCCGGGAGCGAGTATGGGGCAGTTTCCTTTCCATCATCACTCTTTTCCCAACGGCCGAGCCAAGAGCTGGAACGACGCCTTGTCGGAATTGAGCGCAGAAGCAAAAGCCCTGACGGAAGCGTTGGAAGCCCACGCGGCAAACGAGGAGAAGAAACCCAGACCGAATGACCCCATGGCGAGGAGGAGCTTCAATACCAAGAGTCGACCCGCGGCGGAGAAGCCGAGGATCAAGTCGGCTCTGGCAGAACTGCCACCCCTCCGCCGGACGGATATAATGATTGATCCCTTGCCGATATCCAAAGAGAAGGAGGCCGTTCTGTCACGGACTCGTCCGTCGTGGCTCCCACCGAAGTGTCCCGCAGAGGAGAAGCGCCATCTGAAAGAATATCAGAAGATGATGGCTTCCGCCATGCGAGCCGAGCAGGAGAGAGCGGCCCAAGAGAAGAATAAGATTACGTGTCGGGATGATACAGCTAGCTCCCTCCTCCGCATATGGGAAGAACACGTCCTCCCCAACTGGGACGACGTCACGCGGCAGAAACGCACTCGCGAGCTCTGGTGGCGCGGGATTGCGCCCCGCAGTCGTGGCACGGTCTGGGAGAAGGCTATCGGTAACCAGCTCAGTCTCTCGGCCTCGTCGTACACAGCTGCGCTGCGTCGCGCGCATGCATTGGAGACCACGATCCAGAGTGGGAGTCAGCTGAGTCCTGATGAGGAGAAGAAGAAGATGTGGCTGAAGGCGATCCAGAAGGATGTCAAGGGCACGTATCCCGAGCTGAGGATCTTCCAAGCGGGTGGCCCGTTGCATGGGGCGCTGCTGGATGTGCTGAAGGCGTATGCCATGTACCGGAGTGATATTGGCTACGTCCCCGGGACATCGGTAAGCCCTCCTCCAGTACCTGCTCACCCAAAGATAGCGTCGGGGCTAACATGTGGTTAAGACGATAGCAGCCCTCCTCCTCCTGAATCTCCCGACCCCTGCCGCCTCCTTCTCGGCCCTCTCTAATCTCTTAAACCGGCCCATCCCCCTCTCCTTCCACACGGGCGACTCCGGCGCCATCACACGGACCTATGCCCTTCTATCCTCAACACTCAAGCTCAAGTCCCCTCGACTCGCTCAACACCTCGCCTCGCTTGCCTCGCCTTCCCCCGCGCAAGAACCTACGCACCCCCCGGGCCAAGAAGGCGACGCCTACCTGAACCAGATCTTCACGTCCCTGTTCACAGAATCGCTGAGTTTGGACAACGCGACGCGCTTGTGGGACGTGATGGTTTTCGAGGGGGACGCGATATTAGTGCGCGCCGCGGTGGCGTTTCTGACCGCGCTGGAGGGGACGCTGTTTGGATGTGAAAGTTTGGAGCAGGTCGAGCGGGTTGTGAGGTCGGGGCTTGGGGAACTGGGGGAGGAGGAATGGATGAATGCTGTCAGAAGCGCGGGAAAGGCGTAGCGCGTGACATGGCAGTGGAAGGAGAGGCGGGGAGATGGGAACTGGGGAAGCCACTGATCCGGTGTATAAGTGAGTGGTGGTATAGTGGCCTAGTGAAGTAAGGTATAAATACGGGTAGCAGCTCGCGATTGGAATGCGATGGATGTGTTCAATCGCAGAGCGAGTCGATGTGTGGTATAATGTATATATGGGATTCGAATGGTATTGTGTTGTGTTGTGGAGCTACGTGGTACTATGTTCTCTAGTGTTGTATCGTATTGTATTGTATTGTACTGTAGGATGTTATACTATATTACAACATTATATTCCGCATGCGCATGATGAACGGACGAATGATGAATTGGATCTGAATTTGAATTTGAATTTGAATTTGAATAGAACTCGATTGGATTGGATTGGATTGGATGCAACAGAAGAGAATAGACGGACGAGAGGAGGCGAGGCGAGGTGAGACGAGACGAGGTGAGAGGAGAGGTAAGAGTGGGATTTGGACGTCGCAGGGTAAGGAGATGGAGATGGAGATGGAGATGAAGGGTCGATAGAGATGAGATGAGATGAGATGAGAGGGAGGCGTTTACATCTCCATCTTTCGTTACCGGTCTTTTATGTGTATATAGATGTATGTATTGTATGTATGTATGTGCAAATATAAGAAGTCACTCATTGGGTTACTTCAGCTTTACTAGAGAAGAAAAGGTTGGGTGGTGAAGAAAGAAGATGGACTTGCTTGCTTGCTTGCTTGCGGAAAAAATGACAGCTGGTGAAGAGATATAGAAGAGGAAGAAGAAGAGGAGGAGGAGGAGGAGGAGGAAGGAGAAGAAGAAGAAGAAGGAGTGGGACTTTTATATTATAGGAAAGGAATTCTGGAAATAATTCTCTCTCTCTCTC